GGAATGTGAGAGAAAAAGGCAAAGTTTTGCATCCAGTTTATTCAATATAAATATGTAATCTTACTCGAACAAATTGACACAAAAATATAGAGAGAGAAGATAATATTTCATATTTATTTGTACTGCTTTTGGTCCATCAAAAACTACTTTTTAAAGTAACTTAACTGAATTTATAACTTTGTAAGTTTAAAATTCCGATCAGATACTAACTTTTTTTTTTTTTTTTTTTTTTCAAATCTAAGAAAAGTCTGTGGTTCCTTTTCTTTCTTTTTTTCCTTTTTCTTTTTCCCTCCATTTCCTCTTTTTTTGGGGGAGGGAAGTTCCTCTATTTTTGTTGATCAATTATTGCTTTTATTCCATTTATCAATTTTAAAATTTTGAAAAGATGTTTTTCAATAAAAATAAACTATTAGGTACTTAAAAACTGCAAGATTGAATAAAGATTTTTTTTAATATTTAATTTAAATAATGACCATAATATGCATTGCAACAATGTATGATGATAGATACAGTTCATTAATAACTTAAGAATTCATGACAAGATTAGTGAAATATGACAAATGGCATGATTTCATGAAAAGGTAAATTAAATAATTAAACATTAAATTCTGCCCATTACATTTTATATATATTATCCACGCAAATCAATTAATGTCTGAAATATCCAAAAACTATTGAATAATGAAATTTCAATGATGGCTAAATCCCACCATCTACACACAGAAAGTTAATAATATGGGAGGGGAAAAAATTAAACTGAAAATAATTAAATTTTAAATACTTGCAAGAAACAACTAAAAAAATAAAAAGCACTTTATAAATTGGCAAGTTATTTGAGAAATATTGTCACGACAATAACTAAGACATTAATAGAAAATAAAAATTTCAAAACTTTTTTATTTTTATACGACAAGAATAAAAACAATAGTAATGAGGAAAAGGATAGAGTAAAAAATGTAATTTTATGTATAAAATTACATTTAAAAAATTCAGATTCAAGCCACCAAAACTTAAATGAAGCAAACAAATATTTAAACAACTATGCTGAAAGGAATAACAAAACATAACAGATATGCTATTTGCATATTTTACGGCATGAAGTAACTCCAGTATCTAAAAGTAGAATTTATCACCTAGCATTTCAAACCATATCATAGCTAACTATTTAAATGAACCAGAAAGAGAAATCACAAAAATATTTTTTAATTCACTACAGAAATTTGTACAGATTCTAATCTTGTACTGAAATGCTTAAATTTTAGAATAAAAATAAGAAATTTACTTTTAACTGGAGTTTAAAATTTACTACAGCTGATCAATACAATAAATAGAGAGTGAAAACCTAATTATTTACATGCATAATATAATGCTTATTTATTTTTAATAGCAAAATAAAACCTTTAAATTTAAACCACTAAATACAAACCACATGTTTGAAATATCATCAAACCATTTCTTATGCTCTGCATTATAAACAAACACAAGATAGGAATTTATTTTTATTCCAAAAGCATTTACATTTTTTACCAAAAGCATTTGAATTAAATTAGCTCAGCTTAAGATGTTGTATATCCCTAAAATAAATTTTCATATGAGGTCCTTAAAAAATAATCCTGATTCAGATAATTAATATTCCAATATTTTAATTACGGCTGCATTGACAATGCATGGCAAACTTTATAAAATTTCAGCCAAAGGGGAAAAGAAAAGACACCCTAATCTTCATTCGCAAAAAAACTTCAAAGCTGTATTTTATGTCTGAAATGACAATCTTTGCCCTAAAACAATATAAAACAGATATTGAATATATCAGGAAATTTTTTTATAAAGGTGTTATTATTTTACAATTGCCTTTTGTACTATTTGGAAATGCAGATAAATTTTCCTTGAAATAAAATATTTACATATCAGTATTTCTCTTTTAGGCCATAAAAATGACTGAAAATTTTCTAATTTACCAAATACTCCTTTTTTTTTTTTTTTTTTTTAATTTCTTACCCTTTTTCTAACATTTTGTTGGATTATTATAATTATTATTACTATTAGCTTTCAGAAATACAGTTTAATCTTTTTGGAATGGATTCAAATGAGATTTTTTTTATCGCTTCTAGCCTAATTTTTCACTACTCATTTCTCTACTAATTTTAACTGTTGTTTTAAAGAAATAACTTGTTTCCAAACTTTTTGTGCCCACTTCTTGTGAAGATTTCTAATTAGGTTTAACTGCTTACTGCAAAAAATATTTTAAATAATTCAGGGATAAACAGCATTGAGAACTGCACATTCATAGCAGCATGCTCCATGTCATCACCTTGATAGAATCTGGAATTATTTTGAACATTAGATATTCGGTCCGAGATTTCAAATTTCACATAAGTATGTTTGGACTGAAAATTTAAGACCATGGTTTCAATTAGCAATGTAAAGATATTAAATTGGTGCCTCCTGTCAAATATTATTTTTTCTAGTATTCTTATTTCTGCATATATTTTGAGAGAGAAAGGTGAAATTTTCAGTTCTTTTATTGATATAGAATTTTTAAATTGCAACATAAAAATAAGGTTATGTTGCAAAATATTTCATACTCCTAGTATATAACATTAATGTTTTAACAGTTTCTCAGCTAATAAATATTGTATATAATTGATGAAGTTTTGTTTTGTGTGTCTGAACATCCACTTTCTGATTATTTTAATCTCATGATCTTCTTCAATATTGAATTTGTCACACCATCTAATAATATTTTGTTGTGTCAAAAACTAATACATATTTTAAGTGAACCATTTCAGAAAGTGCTGTAATAGATTTTGGTTTTCCAGTCACAAATCATGAAAAAATTTATGAATTTCTAATCACATATGCTTTTTTGAAGAAACCATGACAATAAAATGTCGAAAAAATATAAATTCTGAGTAAACTGTATTGACCAATTCCAGAAGATGATCTTCAAATATTACCTGCTGTATTTTAATGAAAAATAATTTGATAAATCTACATATTACATTTATTACAGCTGATTTTATTTGCAGTCTGAGTAGCATCAGAAAACTTCTATATGTTTGCCTTACTTTAAAGATAAGATATTGATTTGTAAATACAGCATTTAATTTTTGGAAAATATATTTAGGATATAAAGAAGAGAAGATAAATGTATACTTCGCAGGAAGCCCAGGTTTAGCTTAATGCATTCGAAATTTTTGACATTTCCAAAACTTAAAAGTGTTCAGCAGTTTGCATGAGATAGAACACACTTAGAAGAGCTTCAAAGAAAAATTGAATGCTAAAATGCAGAATATGAATTAGTATGCTAAAATGCAGAATATGAATTAAAATGCAGAATATGAAATTAGTATTAACTCTTCTTAAAAAGCAAGGAACAGCCTTACACAATATTATACATAACGTATCCTGCAATGTATAATGTAAAGCTCTATAAGTAAAAGTTTGGTTTTTTTGCAGGGAGGTTATCATTAGTTTTGACTCCTTGATGTTCAACTATACAAGTAATGATTTTTGATTCACTGCATGTAAAACTAAATCTTTGTAAATGGGAACAGCATTAAAAAGCCACATACTTTTCAGGAACAATATGCAGTTTATAAAAATGCAAGCGTCTTTAATGTGGAATTAAGTACCATTATAATTTTCAAACCTTTCATTAAAAGGAAAAAAAGGCTAATTCATTAAGCTTGAACAACTAACAATTTAAAAAGAAATCCCATAGAAATTCCCCATTTTTAATGGCCAAAAATCCTATTTTAAATTAAATACTTAAACAAAGCTTGCCATTTTACAGAAATTTATATCTCAAATCTAGACACTGAAGAAGACATGGAAGGAGGAAGAAAAGGAATAAGAATAAAAAAGGATGAGAACATTTTTGCTTTATCAGAAAATCCTAATTTCGAACAAAATTTAAGTAATAAAAAATAATGTATGTAACAAAAATTTTACAACTGAAAGTGTTTTTATAATTTTATAAAGCAATAAACACAGTTTGTGGTATGCAAATATATAGTTAACTCACTTAACCCTTTTACAGATTTAAATTTTTTAAATCTTCCTTTTCTACAAATATTCAATATACTATGAAAGCTTTTATAGTTTGGACTGTGTTTCATAAGTATCAGACTGAGCATAGAGAGATGAAGGAGGTGACAATCTTCCCATCATTTGCATATCCGGGGGCCTACCAATTTGGGAAAATTTATAAGTGTTGTATGTATAATGAGTAGAATGATCTATTAAATCATCATCACTTCTCATATCTACATATACAGTTTGATAAAAATTTTGATATGTTCTTAGGTCTGAATCAGATTTTGAAGAGCTAAGATTCTTAGATATACTAGACTGAACATCATCACTACAAGTAGGTACTTGCTGTTGAAAAACAGCATACTGATTGGAAGTTTCAGCATTTGCATTTATTGCACTCACATTTTTTGGAATGTTACTAATGCTAAGATTATCAGCAATTACCTTCAAAGCACTTTCTTTTCGATTCAAATCAGCAATTTGGCAAGTACTTACTTTGCTACAGCTTTGTTTGGGAGAAACTAAATCATTTAATAAATCAACACTTAAAGGCAAATGCTGTGGTTTAAAATTAAACTTTGAAATATCACTCCCTGACATATTTTCAGAGGTAGGTTTCAATTTTTGTTCAAGCATTTCCAATTTTATTTTATTTGGAGATTTTAATTCAACAGAGTCATCTTTATAAGAAAAACTCCCTATAGCAGGAAGCTGATTGACTAACACAAAATCAACAGTTCGAGGATAAGCTTTGCATAGATTCTCAGAACCATTATATGATAAATGACGATTTGCTCTGGCATATAGAGTAGGACTAGTCTGACCTATACAGATATGATTAGAGAAAACACGTACACGATGCCTGCGAGGCCTTTTTGAGCTTTCATCTTCTTCCTGACCAAAATCATTTCTTATATCATGTTCACTTTTGCTATAATTATCAGCAGTACCATTAAACTTACCAATATGTTCTTTGGTCCCATTTGTAAGCATTGTACTCACAACTTCAGATTCAGTAACTTTAGAGTCTGAAATGTTATCAAGGTTAGTAAGCATGCAATCTGTGTTAGTTTTCTGAGCTTCTTTTTCTAAGACATGATAGGAATCATGAGAAATATTATCATCTGTATCCTGAGTAAAGTAGTCAGGACTTTGGAAACCTTGTTCACTTTCAAAATCAGATGATACCAAACCTTTAGCTTGTGCATCCAATGGTTTTGAACAGTCACCATTAAGAGTGTGACTGAGGTCTTGGGCAACATGGGGCGTTGTTGGCTCGGAAGTAGAAAATGTCTTTTGAGAAGGGGCTCTATCCTTGGAAATATCTGATATGGATCCACATGAAAGACTTGTCACAGGTAACAAAGGCTGAGGAGATATGGGTGTACCAGCACTTTTTGAAGGTGAAGATGGTGTCCGAAGACTTGTAGAGCTGAAAAAATTCAGATAATTGAAATTTATACAAAAGTAGAAAATATAATGATTAACAAGATACTCCTTGAAATTCCACTAACCTTCTCAGATTTTTTCAATAACCAAACATAATGAGCTAATTATGAAATTACATATATGAGTTACTAAATTCTTTCACACATTTCCCATAAAACACAAACATGTAAGAATGTTATATAAATTTATTTTAACTCATCATTGTGGAGGAAAAGAAAGAAATTTATACAACATGCACCTAAACTAATCCAAAAAGTAAGCAGTCTTTAAAATTTAATATTTTAATCTGAAAAGAAAAAGTGAATTTTGGAAAAGAAATTTATGACAATAATATATCATTCACATACAATATAACTCTTGTAGTTTTCCAAAATAAGAGTTAACAACTCAGGAACTTCTAAATTACATTATTTATTTTTGAAGGGCAAACCATCTAAATTGCTTATGTCATCTATGACGATAGTGTCAAAATTCAGCACCACCAGTTTCATATTAAAAATGATTTTTTTCTAAAACAGGCAATAGCCATTTTTAAGCTTTTGCCACTATTAAACCTGAAGTGGTGGTGATTTTATCATGGAGTTACCTAATAAGAGGCCACCATTACCTCCTATGAGGGGACAGACAATTTACATCCAAGCCTTCTCTGGGATTCGAAGCCGAGCCCTTCAGTATCACAGTCGGCTCCCATAACCACTATACCACCTGGGCGGCTTAGAAATAAATATATTGTTTATATTTCTGAACTTCTCTCTATTAATTTTAAAATTAAGGACACATGTTTCCAGTTACTTAATCTACTTAATCCAGAATAGAGGTTTTCAGTTCCTTAATCTGCACTAATTCTCTCTCTCTTCCCTGGAGTACCTAAAAAGTAGCTCATCATGTAATGATATTACTGTTAATATATGGCAGACTCTTATGGATTTACTGTAGAAGAATGTTTCTTATATTCGTTTATGACCATGTTGGGATATATGGAAATGAATGCAACTACAAAAAATATTAATGTTGATGTAAATATTCCAACCTCATATACTTAAAAAAAATATTCAAATCTGAAATGATTGAGCAACGGAATTATGATATCACTCCTGATAAGGGAGATATTACAAAAAAGTTCTTTCCAACTTTCTTTGAAAGACTGAAAAATAAGGACTTGTTGATCAATTTTAATGTTATGTAATTTTTGTTTGGGCATAGAAAATTTAATGTTTATACTGAACAGTAAGATTATGTCTTCCAACTTGTGCTATTGTGATAGCAGCATTCAGTAAATTGTCTTCAGCTATTTTTTGATTGCCCTCTGTTTCATCATGCAAGAAAATAATTGAAATGCAGACTGAAATTAATTCGAATACATTGGCCACCGAAATGTCATGAATTTGTTTCCCAGCCTTTTTCCAGCCTTAACTTGCTTTTAATGACTTTGTTGAATCTTATTTTAATTATTATAAATTATTTTTCTCTGTAATAGCATTCTGAAAGCTTTCTTTTTTTTTTTTTTTTTTTTTTTTTTTTTTCCAATCATATATGTTTGATTTATTCTTATTATTTAAAGTTGTGTTTTCCTTTGCTTCTATATGTAAGCCTCACCTGATGTTTTGTTGTGCTATCTAAAAAGAAAGATGACAGAAGAGTTACACTTCTTAAGAGAAGAATGAACAGTTCCCTAGCAAGTGGAGCAAACTAGCAACCTAACAGAACTATTTCAGATATTAGCTAAATAATTTGTACTTTGAACAAAGAAAACTAAGGTTATAGTGACACTTCATTTGATTTCTTTTTAAAAATAGGTAATTTTTATATACAGGCTATTGTTAACACAGGAACTTTTCATTTTCTGACATTTGATCGTCTTTATTTTCTGAAATTTCAGAAAATATTTCAGATTTTCACTGACTTTTCCTAGCCTTTTTTTTTTTTTTTTTTTTTTTTTTTATCTCCTTGGCTTTAAAAAATTTTCCACGTGAGTAAAAATCTTAATGGTGTCCGCCGACAACATCGCGGAGAAAACAACGCAAGGCGAAAACGTCGTGCTACAAAACATCGTGGGAGAAAACATCGCAGTTCTAAAACATCGTGATACAAAACATCGTCGTCGAAAATAAAGCAGTTCAAAAACTTCGCAGTTTAAAAACATCGTCGTCGAAAATATCGTGGTAAACAATAAAGTATCTACAAATCATCGCATGACGATAACATCGCAGACATGCTTTTTTCAGGCTTTAATAACTGTAAATGGATATTCCTGATACTCATCGCATGACGATAACATTGCAGACATGCTTTTTTCAGGCTTTAATAACTGTAAATGAATATTCCCATAATGATTTGTGAGCGCAAGATGTAAAGAAGGATAATTTTTACTTTCATATTTTTTATTAAATATTAAATTTTTGCTGAGAAAATAAGAAGGAAACTTAAGCATAGAAAATTAATGCAACTTATAGCACTTAATAGAATTTTAAACCGACATAGTTAACTAACAAAGACCATTAATAAATAATTTTTTTTATAAAGTTTTTACAGGTAATTTTTCATAAAAAGTATAATTTATTAAGTTGCATTTAATTTTATATGCTTAAGTTTCCTTCTTATTTTTTCAGCAAAAATTTATTAGTTAATAAAAAAATGTGAAAGGAAAAATTATCCTTCCTTACATCACTTTCGCTCACAAATCATTATGGGAATATCCATTTACAGTTATTAAAGCCTGAAAAAAGCATGTCTGCGATGTTATCGTCATGCGATGATTTGTAGATACTTTATTTTTTACCACGATATTTTCGACGGCGATGTTTTTAAACTGAGAAGTTTTTGAACCGCTTTATTTTCGATGACGATGTTTTAGAGCTGCGATGTTTTGTAGCACGACGTTTTCGCCTTGCGTTGTTTTCTCCGCGACGTTTTCGCCCGCGATGTTTTTGGCTGTAACCAATCTTAATAACTATGCATAATATAAAAAATCTAAAATATCACTATATTATAATAATCTAAATATTTCAAGTATATCTAATCATTTCTGTTGCTGTAGGAATATTATTTTACACTGGCAGATGCTTTAATATTCATATTCAAATATTATAAGATTATTTAATATATGGCCTATGGGCCACAATAGGTCCAGTAATGTATTCTTATGAATTATTGATCTCTTATCCATAAAAAAGCTCTCTATATGCAGAAAATTTAGTTTCATGCTTAGGCAATTTAATTTCAAAGATTTAAAGCTATCTAATGTTTTAAATTGAGTACTCTCTTTAAAAAAAAAAAAAAAAAAAAAAAAAAAAAAAAAAATCAAACTGTTAAGAGGAAAGGTGCAAATCCAAGACCTTCAAAGTTACTTTTTTTCCCCATAAAATGCATTCTGAACATAAGTATTTCATAAAACGGTTTGAAAAACTTACAAAAGAATTTTTAAAAAATGGTTTTATCTGCCAGAGTTTTCTCTGGTAAAATTAAACTATTTACTAGAACAATTTAGAAGAGATATTTCTGATATTTGCAAGTGAAAATAATCAATATCTAAACTGATTTTAACATGAAGAGCTTTTATAGTGCATAAATTATGAGGTTAATTTGGACAGCAAACTCTATTTAGCTATAAATAAAAAATGTGCATAAATACAAAAAATTTGTTATTTAGATCTGAGAAATGCAGCAGTTCTCCATCTTTTGATATAGTCACCATGTAAATTCAAGAACATGTCATAGTGTTTTACTGACTTACAAATCCCTTCAGTATAAAGCTTCGCCAGGTTGGATTTCAATCAATCAATCACAGCATTGCCAGGTACTATTAAATTCCTCCCCTCCTGTATTGTACAGAAAAAGAAAAGCATAATTCATTTAACTGGTTTTGTGGATCTTTGTAAGAATTTTTTTTTTTTGAATCCATCAAACATAAAACATTGGGTAACATGATTTTTCCAGTGACAACCTCATATAAAACAGTCCAAGAAATGTTCAGAAATTTTTCAGAAAGTTCTGAGATTGTGAATTGCCAGTTCTCCCAAACTTTGTCATCAGTATTCTTGACAAGATCATTATTCGCTACAGAAGGCCCACCACTCCTAAGTTTGAGCCCACCAGCGGTAAAGTCGCTGAACACTGGTAATTCGGTCTGAGGTTTGAGTCCTGCGAACGGGCTGGCTGTATGGGTGTTTTCGTGGTTTTCTCCATGTGTAACGTGTATACAAGCTGGTTTTCCCTTAGAAAGTCCCTTAGGCAGATAGCCCTAGTGTGCTTTGCCATAATTAAATACACACACCACTCCTAAGTTCATCGTGAATGTTTTTCTTTCTGCTTTAAAAAGTCTGATCCACTCATGCATAACACCTTCACTCATTAAGTTTGGGCCATATACACTACAAAATTTACGATGAATGTCTGATGTTGATAGATTTTTTTGCCCAAAGAAATCTATCATTCCATGTATCTTGCATTTGCCAGAATATTTGAAATAAACATACATTTTGTGATGTTATAACCAAAGCACTTTGATGCTATCGTTAGCTCTGTTGGTATCAAACTGAATTGTAGATCATGTGATGTTATAAAGCTGACCCTCTGACCACTACTACTAGTGACAGATCATACCAGCGATTACTTTCAAATTGTTTTTGTCTTATTATTTTGTAGTGGTAAGAACCTAAGATTTTTACTAACTATCTCAAAACATGCTCTTTTATTTATTTCACCACAGCTTCCATTATCAAAGATTAAAAACATAGCAAAATTATGCTATACTTCATATGCGCAGAGAGACATTGATTATTTGTATAAAAAAGAAAGTGATACTACACGTCACATTAATCCTAATTAGTATTTAAGAATGAAAAAGTGGGAAATAGTATTAATGCTAACTTTGTAGTGTGTAATTGTATGGTCTATTTCTCTTTTTTCCATTTATTATATTTACTAAGGAATATAAATTAATATAGGTCTAATTTTAGTCCCTTTCTAATGTCCTTTGCTTTTATAGCACTTTTTTATAGAACAAGTGGGGTGACAATATTTGACTCACAAGTTTTTTGCAAAATGTTTATGTGGCTTTATATGTGAAAGGACGGATATTCCTGAGCTAACAGCATACCTTAATCAATATAACATTACGCAAATTACAGGATGCAGTTCACCCCATTCAGAAAGAAGAAGCATGGCTCAAACCAGGATTAAAAATGCACATAAATGTTATGATTTACAATGAGTAATTAAATTATTCTCAAAATGTGCCATTATTTTGTAAGGAATTTTCATCTTCCTCAGTGTGTGTCTTCATGGTTTAAGTGGTAACATGTTCAGCTAGCTATCAAAAGATCCAGAGTTTGAATTCCGAAATAGCAGCTTCCTTGCATTTCTCTAGTTCTAAAAAAATAATAAAGATCCTACAGTGGTAGGCTATAATTTGTCTCTACTTGTATTTGATGATTGGATCTCCTTCCTCCCACTCATCCTTCACGTGGCAATATATCATTTAAAACAAACATATAGCATTTTGTACTTCCTCTCTGCACACCTTCATGATGTAACTAGAAGAACATCTGGCTAGCATCATCAGGTCCAGAGTGCAAATCCCAGAATAATGACTGCTAATCATTTCAACTTTCCTGCTCAAATAAGTATACTATAAAAAATGTGGTGCATGATAATTTGTCAACATCTGGATTTGACAAGTAGGTTTCTTTCCTCCCCATTCACCCTTTAAGCAGGGAAGAATGTAAGGAATTCTTATCATTTTCATTATGTGCCTTTACAGTATAAGTGGTAACAATCAGAAAGTCTGGACTTTGATCCCAGCAAAGGCACAGCAGCTTTCTTGCATTTCTTTCTCAAAAAATTTTAAATACTAAAATTTGTATTTCTGCCTTGGTGCATTTGTTTTACTTTTAATAAATGATGTACTGCAAAGTAGTGCCTAGAAACAATAATACACTGAATTCAAATTAACAAGCAAAATAAAACTATTAGCTGTTGAAATGTGTAATCAAAAATATTCCATTTCCTTGATAACAGAATTCATCAAAAAACTTTGAAGCTGAAAGCAGCACATAAAAAAATTAATATATATACAAAGCAAATGATTTAAATCCCAGTTAAAACTTCCAGAAAACTGGAAAAATGATATTTTCGGACCCTACCTTTCTCATGGGTATGTGGAGAGGAAGGGGCTTAGAACATTTGTTAGTCTATCACTTTAAAATTACACATTTGCTTTCAGCATTTCTGTTCTTCTTCACTTCTAACTAATAAACATTTCCAAATTCTGAAGAAAATCAGCAAGTAAAATTAGCATTCTTTTTTAAATATATGCAACTGACAAAATCACCGCAATTTTGGATTTAAAATGATTCCATTCAATTCACTGTCCTCCTCTAACCAAATCTTCAGAATATAACAATACAACAAACAGGCAAAAATAAATTTAAATATGTTTCATTTTTCTGAATCTATTGGAAATTAAATTAAATTATATATATTACAATACGTAAAGTATTTAGAGTAATGCCTTTTGGTTTGAGAAAGAGGCACAGACTATTTTGAATTCAATTCTACAAACAGTGTTCAGGATTTTAACTTACATGTCAGATATGCTGTGAAGTACTGAACATAATACAACAGAAAACAATAAATTTATCTTTATAAAATGAAATGTATGCAAATGTAAATGAAATCATCAGAATATTGCTTCAAAACTTTAAGATGTAATTAAAATATAAAAAGTACTTTTTGAAGATTTCAAGTTATGGTTTCCAATCAAAAATTGCATGAATTTGGAGCTGTAAGTTCTTGAATGTAAGAGTTTTTTTATACAAAAATTTATTCTTATGAACTGGAAAGGCTTCATGAGTTCTGAATATTTGCGTATGTCCCGAAGTTATCTCAAGAGATTTCTACAACAGAGATAATTCAAATGCACACAAGTAAACCATTTGATGTATGATGATAAGCCACTTGATGTTTAAAAACCATCTTGGAGTATGTCTTTAAAAATAATAACTGACCATCAAATTTAAGTTCATATTTAACAATGGTGCAATATCAAAAATGCACGCTTAACAGCAACATCCGAATAATAAATGACTTGTTAAATGTAACTCAGTGCTACCATAATACAAATCAATTCCTTAATCATTATTAGGCACATTTCATTTAATTATTATAAGCACCACATCAGATACTGACACAAAATCCTCATACAGACATCCCTAGCAACTGATACTTAAGCACTGAACTCCTTGTGCTAGAAAAGTGCATAAATTATGGCATTTTAAAATGAAATCTGAATTATTATGACAATGAAAATAAATTAAAATATTTTGAAATGTCAATTTATAATTCTCCCTCCTTTTTTTGAATGATGAAAACGTAGCTGTATTTGCAGAGCACATGAATTCTACAAAATTTTATAAATGTTAAAAAATTACTTACCGCTTAAATGGCTGTCTGGTAAAACAATTTTCTCTTACAAATTCTGAAACTTGCTTTTGTGTACGTCCACTATATCTACAAGTGATGGGGAAAAAATATGTGTAAAAAATAGGGACAAGACAATAAAAAAGTTATGTTCATATAATAATAAATAAGCAGTTTATTTATTCTTTTGTAATAACCTCAGTATTAGCAAAAATATAGCATTCATGCATTTGCTAAGATAAGTGATATGCAGGAATTTCAGTTAATCAGAAACAAATCACATGTACAGGACATCTGCTTCCTTTTGTTGAGTAAATTATCCCTACATGGAGGGGGATTTGAAGAAATGGTTGCTTGTTTCCGTAAACAATAAAACTGCTTTCAAACTTGTCTTCGAAGAGTGAATAAACAGATACCACTTGGTAGGTTTACAGGAAAGTCAAAGTTCGTTAATTTAATCCAGAATATCATGACATTTAAGGTAAGTCATCTACCCATTCAGAAAAATACTGCCAGTATATGCTGCCTTATCTGAAATGTGGAAATTTTCATTCCCTTTTTGTAACAGATTCTGCTGCTGTAAATGAGATCCAAGCAGCTGTTTTGTGAAGATCCAAATCAGCAATAACATCACTGAGTACTACCTGAGATATAAAATGGGGCTGTTTACTGCTACTACATTTGTAATCATCTTTCTCTGGAAAACTTACACCGACTTTTGATTCAAAATCATCTTCATCTGATTCCAAGTTGATTTTGTACTTTTATAGAGGTATGCTAGAAGCGTCAAGAGGTACAGGTATCATGGCTGAAGGGATATTCAATTTTATGTTTGCTTTTAGAACAAAACCCAAGGATTTTTGTTACACAAAAGTCACAGCCATTAACTGATTCATGATTCTGAGGTTCCGCCAAATCATTGGCACTCCATAGACTTGAGAGTACTCTGTAGCTATCCTGTTAACCGTTTGAGTCCGGTGAAGCGCTTTTGCACTTCACTTGTCGTATGCCAAAAATATGGCGCAGCGCGATAGCGCTTCTCTTGTTTTGTATCGAGAATGCGAAGACGCTGCTTTTGGTTAGTATACTTTACGCAATTATTGAGAGCAGTTGTAGTGATATCAGTAGCAGTTGTTTTATAGGAATTGGAAATTGTTTTCATTTTTTTACCAAGCGTTATACTGATAATTACGAAATAACCCATGTCAAGTTCTGATTCATTTGAAAGTGACTATATTATGAGAAGTGATAATGAAGAGTATAGTAATGACCTTGAAAGTGATAGTGGAAGTGACATCATCATTCGTTCTAAGTGATTACAAAGTTATTAGTGATAGCAGTGATGATAATGAAGTAACTGCAAGTACCTCCAATGACGATATTATTGATGAGTTTTTTTACCCATGGATACAATTTTTTCGAATGAATCGAATACTTTTTCTGAAGTACCTGGGCCCAAAGCACGCCCCTCCTCCTGATGCGAAACCAATTTAATATTTCAATAATTTTTTTTTTCAATTTTCAATAATTTTTTTTTTTTTTTTCAAGTATACTAACCAACAGCAGCGTCTTCGCATTCTCGATACAAAACAAGAGAAGCGCTATCGCGCTGCACCGTATTTTGGCATAAGACAAGCGCAATAGCACTTCGCCGGACTCAAACGGTTAAAGTCCTTGAACAAGTGTAGAAGCAAATTTTGGGAACCCAAATTTTGTCTTGATTGCCAACTTTGTACCCAAAACATAACACATTGGCTTTTCTTACTAGTGGGCTCAAAGTCTTTATTTGAACTTTTAGAGTCATTTCACCACATATACAACAGGAACTCTTCAGTTTGTTCAGACAGTATTATGCGACGACATCATTTATACATAGTGAAAATAATAGCACTACTAGAATACTATCATTATTTACTAGTTCTTTGCGCTTTGCTTGTAATACTGATCCTCCGACAAACGTCTGACTGTTTATATACTTGTCTCGCACATTTGACGTTTTTCAAGAAACATCTGGTATTCAGAGTACCAGAAGTGACAATTACATAATTCTTGTATTTTCAGATTGTGTGCACAATTTCCATAAACTAAGCGAAAGCATAAACTTAGCAATGTTGCACATAGTATGCTACAACAACTTATACATCACATAGGTACACTGCTAAAAAAAAAATGGGACAGTGCTATATCTCCTGTTCTACTGGACTGATTGACAAAATTCAAACTGCGTTTTTCATGTCTTGAAAGCGCAAATTAGGATATATATTAGATTTATATATAGCACTATTCTAACATAGATATTTTGATACACAATCAGACTATTTCTGAAATAACACACCAATTTTTTTCTATATTTTAATTTATGCCAAAATGTCAAGTTTTGTAAAAATCGTACGAATAGTTTTTAAAGTATTAGCTCTCAAAATTTTAGCTCCTCAATGTTAATTGAATTTGGCAAATATTTATTAATATCTCTTTTTTTATTAAATTTTTTTATTTTTCCTTTCACATTTCGAAATTTAGGTTCATTCCATATAAAATTTACCTATTTTTTGTGTTTTATTTTTTAAATTTCTATTTTAAAACAATTTTTATAAATTTTTTGAAAAACATTTTGAATTATAACCTTAAACATCATCTTAAAGTAGGTGTATTTCTAAGCATACCTGCAAAAAATTAGACTTTTTTATTCAAAATTTTCTAAGATGTACACGAATTTACATATTTTCGGGTTTTGAAATTTGGCATCTTTTTTTTTAAGCGATAATAACGCCAAAAGTGGTTCATGGATTTTTATTACAGTGAATTGCCACAGCTATTTTTAACCTTAAATTTCAAATAAAATTTTACGGAGAATTAATTATATGACATTTTTTCCCCTCAATGATGTGTAATAAATATTAATTAATACTATAGGAAAAGTTATTTTTTTTTAAATTAAAGATGATATTATTCAAATTTTTAACTATTTTTTTTAAATTTCTCTCTCTCTTCCTTTTAAAAAAAAAATATTTGTAAGAGTAAATTTTTATCTTCGGCGTTTTATCGTCTGCTACAATACTTTACCTTCGTTTAAATTGAATTGTCTAAAACTGAGAACTTTCATTTGATGTTTATTTGAATTTTATGAAAATATTTTATGACATTAACTGCAAAATTTATTTCTAAACAAGCTGTTGCTTATAAAGTGGCTGAAAGAGCGGCTGATACATTTTTATAGAAACATAAGATTTAAAATAATCATTTTTATAATTATGATATAAACATACAACCCTCTAGAGACCGAATTTATGGAAGTTTAATGGTTATGTAGAAATGATCTGCAGCTATTTAATGGCTGGATAAGTCAGCAGGTTCTGTGGCCAAGTAAGAATAATTATATAAACGACACCCAACATTCTGGATTCAATTAACAACGAGGGTACGATGTTTATTAAATGAATTTAAGAAGATTTTAAACATAAAATATCAACTCATTTTTTATCCTAAAATTTATTTTTATGTGTAGCATATTTTCATTATGTCCTTAAAATTCCAATTTAGAATGTAATTGTCAACAACTTAATTCTAATCATCAGTAATATAATAAGTAATTATTACGGTTACTAATAAATCCTTCTTATAAAGTAATTGCAAATATTTCAAAAAACTTTCTGCCTGAATGCAAATATTTTTCTATGCAAATATTTCTAATTTTATATTAATCAAGATTGCACATGATATTATTTATTTGCACTTCATACTTACCATCAGCTCTAGTAGAAGTTACAATCAATTATATTAATTGAAGAATGACCTTTAGTTTAGCCCCCGGCCCGTATCAATTTCATGGTTTTGTTCTCCGATTGGCAGCTAAATGATTTTAATGAGTATTCGGGTTTGCTAGAACTTCATTTGGAAAACGCGCTTAAACTAGGTTAGTTGGTTATTTGAACATAGAAAGAACATGGGAGCTATTTGGTTAAGAAGCTTTCATAGAGGACCTTTGTAAGAGAACGTAGAAAACTATGAAAACCCCTGCAGCCCTGGGTTAGACTCGAAACAAACAATTAGTATTTAACAAGCTTCAAATGCTAGGCAAACTGATGAGGCTCCAATTAAATCTCCATTTAATATTTCATTTGTAAATATTTACAATATTGTTGTATTCTTAGACACAAAAAAGCAGAATTAAGTTTTGTAACTCGTTAGTAAACTACCAAGCCATAGTGCAAATGAATATTCAATTTCTTTTGCAATAATTGTATTCACTTAATATTCTTGGAACACGAGCTAAAGAAGGGATGTTCTCGGAAGATTAAAGAAGATTTTAAATCCAGTGATATTAGGTTTGTCTTACAAGCTCAGGTATCAAAACGATTCTGCAACTGCCCGAGTATTGACTTGCAAACGGCTGTGAACTAAGCAGATGACTTTTAATCTTACGTTATTCAGTCAGAAAACATATTCTAAATGTTTTGTATTGCATAACAATGCATCTTTTCATTATTCAATAACCAATCGGAGAACAGCTTGTGTTCCGTAAATAAGTATGTGTACTCAATCGTCCTGCATGTTCTTCAAATTTGTCTTCTTGTGGTTTTTTTTTTTTTTTTTTTTTTCCCAAAAACTAAAGTTGCCTCGAGAGGAATTTTTTTTTGAAGAGACAAAAGGAGTATGAATCTTTTAGAGGCATGTCAAAAACAGATCTACACAAGCTCTCCTAATGTTGTGCATTCCAAAAAGTTTGCACCAGCATTGCCCAGAATCTATTTTTATTACACTTTTTTATTACGTACAGTGAATATTACTAAACCTTTTACTTCAGCTTCAGTAATTCGAATTTTTTGTCAGAACTAGGTCTTAGAAGATAAGTTAAATTGATATTTCGTAATCCAATAAATTCAAGGTCGAAGTTTCAATATTTTATTTTCGGGAGGGGAAATTTTTTCAGTTTTGGTCCATTATCCAAGTCTTCGATTCCTTATTTTTTCATAAAAGCAAAAAATTTACGCATGGTATACATATAATACATAGCTTCAAATTAAATTTAATATATACAGGTGGTTAATTTCCAGTTCCACTTTGAAACGGTCATAAAAGTAAAAGTACTGGATCAATTTATCAACTTAGTCCCGTTAAAGGGGCATGGGAATTTTATCCGTGAAAAAAAGCAAGTTCAAATCTCACCACCGGGAGGGGGAAATGGCGGGGTCTGCCTATTTAAACCAAATATGGGTCCCCCGGCTTCATTTAACCGTGCTTGACCATAAGGCGAATACCCATATCGATGCAAATCACTCGCACATGCCAATTTGGAATCGTTTTCTTACAGATCGCTAATTTTTAACTGAATTCGCCTAAAACATGAGCCCCTTAATGATTTGGGCCAAAGAATCCCTCCGTTATCTACCCTCCCCTCCTATGCATTGATTGCATAGCAGATTCCACAGTTGGTGTGGAATGACGCTAGTTTAACTTCATTTTTCTCGAGAGCAGTCGACAGCTGGCCACTACATTGCAGCCGCTTAGTGTCAATGTTAAAATGTTTTGTGATACATGAACTGCAGTAATATGGCATTTTAGATACTATGATTTTTATGCAAGGCTGGGCGCCACCTCACGTGTGTCGCACAGTTACTTAGGTAACATTTAACGAATGAACGTCTTATAGGCCGACACTTCCCCTCTTCCCACCAGAACTCAACCTTTGTGACTTTTGGCTATGGGGTTATCTCAAAAGATTTCAAAGCTATAGAAAAACCTTTATAATTAATTAGTCAATCTTTCAATTTTGACGTGCAAGAAGCTCCTGTTGAAATTCAACTAGAACTAATTAACTTACAGTCAAATAATTTACTAAAAGAAAATTTTCACTCAAACGAGTTGAGTGTTTTCTACGGTGCTTTGAATACAAAACATTTCAAACATTTTTTGAACTATGTTCGAAAATACCTAGTTTTATTTGGTTCAACATACATTTGTGAAAGAACTTTTTGGTTAAACGAAAAATAAAAATCGATCACAAATTACTGACATAAATCTACACTCGGTATTAAGGATTGTAACAAGTGATTAGGATCCAAATTTTGAAGAAATAATATCAAATGAACATTCCAGATTTCACTTTTCGCATTAACTAAAACTATTCTATTTTAACGTTTGATGTTTGTCTTTTCTTTTTATAATTCTATTTATATATTTACAAAATGTAATATAAATATAAAAATGTAATAACTATGATCAAATAAAATAATTTGTATCGTTAAGATATAAATAAAAAAATATCAAAATAAAATCTTTCATTAACTGATTTATTTAATGACCATTAATTTAATATAATGGATCATATTTCTTTAAAAATTACATGACATATTTTACTGGGCACAAATTAGGATTGTTCCTAATTCCAATTCATCGTTGCCTTCGGCCTTTAAAGAAATTATGTTTTAGTCCTGGTTTCACCAACAGATGGCACCACTTGCTTATTCTTTTCCAGGCTTTCTTATCTTATCGAATCATTATTTCCTATCTTGTTCATTTGCGGTTTTGCAGCTGAGGATGGTGGTTCAGTAAAACCATCTAAACTAATTCGGTGAAAATTTTAAAAATATAACGCTGATTTTTGTTGTTTGACTTCAGAATTAGTATGTTACTTTCTGCTGTTGTGCATACTGTGCACAGAATGCAATATGTGGTCCACGACAATGGCAGCCACATTGAACCTCATTTGAATGCAAAATAAAAGGTAATTTCCATATTGAAACACTCTATTTTCTATTACACAGCGCCAAATATTCCCCTAGCGATGACTTTTGGAACTAATTTGTTTTTTCGCGGAATCCTTCGTCCCCCGTCTTGTTTAATATTCCTACATAATGAGGCGTCATTCTCGCAAATAGATCGCGCTACAGAACACTGTGAGCACTGTCAGTTTAATTATGGCCACCTGGTATATCTTTTCTGAACGGAACATTGAAAGGCGTGTTAACTGTGCTTTACTGTATTTTCTCTTTTAATATATGCAGTTTTCAAATGCCTCGTGGTCTGGGCTACAAAGTATTCTTTCAAAAGAAACACATTCAAATAAATTAAAAAAAAAAAAATTTATGGCAATTTAATTAATAACTTATTTAAAATCTCAGTTCGAATGAATAAATAATTTTAAAATAAATATCTGAAGAGACAATGCAAACATAACAATTAAATAAAAGTCTAAAATTTAAAAAATTACCTAAATAGTAACTATGACTAAAAATAGTATAAAGAAAACTATTGAAAAAAAAAATAAAACGATTCACCTTTGATTAAAACGCAGTTCGAAAGAGTAAATAGAAATTTTTAAAACAGCTATTCGAAAGAAACCATGCAACTTAAACATTAAAATTAAATTTGAAAAAGAAAAAAATACTTTAAATAATAACAATTATAATTAAAAATATAATATAAAGACCATTATTTAAAAAAAGGAACGATCGTGACTTTTTTCCTCCTCACGCACGAGGTAGAAAGGGAAAGGAAAATAAGTTGTCATATATTAAGAAGTTCGCCAAATGAACTATTCTTGGCAAAACTAAAAGAAAAAAAAAAAAAAAAAAAAAACCAACATAAACTGTTGATTTTTTCCGTAAATTTTGCATCAAATTTTACAAAATTTAGTATCTAGGCATAATTTGAAGTCGTAGAATCGAAATATGTAAAACAAATGGTATGTTATTTCAGAAAAAATTCTGATTTTGTATCAAAATACCTATGTTAAAATAGTGTTAGATATAAATCTAATATATATCCTAAGTCACGCTTTCGAGACATAAAGAACACAACTTGAATTTCGTGAATCGGCCCAGTAGAATGGGAGATATAGAACTGTCTCTCTCTTTTTTTTTTTTTTTTTTTAACAGTGTACATCCTTATACCTGCTTTGCAATCAATCAAAACATGTTGATGTTCTCTAGATTTTGCTACATGATATAACGCTTACAAGTCAGTGTAAGGGTTATAAAAGTAGACATTATTGAAATAACACATTAGTTTGGAGGGAAGGATTTTCAGTGTGATCAAAGTTCTGCTAAAAATGTGTCTTAAATATATGGATAATGATCATAACTGAGCAAACTTACACATAAACATAATCAAAATCCCTACTTCTAAATGAAATTAAAACACACTGAAAACTCTTTTCAAGATTAAATTAAAGAAACTTGCATTAGTAAACCTGTAGTCATATACAAGCTATTTAGGGAAAATGTTTAGAACAATTCTACTACAGCTTTTACTTCTGAAAAGAAACTAAGATATTTGTCTCCCCACCCCTTGTATCTTATAAGTTGCAGACTGCATATTTCCTATCAATCAGCTATCAGTATTCATACTTTTGTAATCGTTCTATATAGATACGGTCAGATTAAGAATTTTAGAGGTCATATGCACTCAAATGATTTTGATGCCCACAAATACATTTAAGTCCTTTTCCCCTCAATTCTTTCTCTATGAGTCATGATTTAACTGCACCATACATTCCACGGCAAAAACGCCACCAGAAACTTCTTGTAGGACTCCTTTTCCTTGATGCCCTAAGCATTGGATTGGAGCATTATTATTTTGTTTAATGGTTAATTCATTCCTGCATCCAGAATAAAAGTTTAAATGAATTTTTCTGTAAATAGCATCCTACAGAAAAGCGCCAAAGTCTTGGTGTAATTCCAATAGTCTTACATGTAATAAACAAATATACCCCCCCCCAAATATTCTTATATGTAATAAACACCAGCTTAGTAAATTTCAAAATCATCACATTATCCTATTTCTCTTCAAATTATTTTGCATAAAAATTATCTCAAGGGTGATATCAATACATTTTATTCTTATTTCACAAACAAACTTTTCTTTTAATGATAATGAATATATATTTATATTCAATAATGTAAGGTTATGAAACATTTAAACAAATCACAGTTTCAAGATGTTAATAAAATGATAATGTGTAAAATGTGTATCAAATTTATTAAAATTACCTAGGACATTTTAGGTTTAAAAACAAGCTGAAAACATTTTAAAGCATTTTAAGGAAAATAAGTGAGTGGTTAGAAACTTAATTAAAAAAAAACTTGTTAAACTAATTAGATGTTTAATACCTAAACGAAGAGCCTCTGCTAAAAATTTTGGGCTTTTGACGCATTCCCTGTTTTGCATCTGTACATCGAAAAAAAGTATGATTCTCAATGCATTTCTTCCAGAAATTTTTGCATTCATTTCGACCTTCAAAGAAAAATTCGACTGTGTCCTTATAATAACCCTAAAAATATTAAATAACTTTAGTAGAAATTAAACATGTAAATAATATAAGAGAAAAAAAATGTCTAAATGAGGCACGAAAAAATTACATTTTCTTTAGTAATTTTTTTTTAAATGCTTGGATTACTTACATATCCTTCAGGGTGCAGCTTAATAAGGAACTTTTTTCTTTTAAAGCTCAATTTTCGTATTTTAGCCCAAGAAAATGTGTTAATCTTTGTAAAATTCTGGAACACTAAAACGCCTAGATGTGCAACTGCAAGATTTAGAGGAACACCCTCTTGATCCTTGAGGGAATAAAAAAAAATAAAATCATTTTAATTATTATTCATTATAAATTACATATGCTTAAATTTATTATTTAAAAAAATATGACTAACTTTTGCAGGAGTCATTTTGATCCCATATAACTCACATCGCCGGGCAGTTTCCAATAAATTTAAATCAGCTTCAGCTGGAGTTTGGCCACTAATTGCACAAGAAGAAAATTAGTCATAATATTATGATTAATTATAATACTTGTGAATCTTTGGGGAAAACATGATAAATCACCAACAGCGGTAATTTTAACAATCTCTGATATGGCAACCTTTCTTTTTCTCTGCCTTCTTCTTCTTCTTCTTCTTTTTTTTTTTTTAAGTTCATATGTTTTATGTGTTAACTTTCTGTATTGAGTTCCTTATTAGAATGACATTCAATCTGCTTTTTTAAATTTATTCCTCATCCATAAACATAAAGCTTCTAATATGGCAACTCTCATTTTTTCTGTGTGTATCATTTGCCCTTCATGTATTTAACTCTTCATTAAAATGATAGTCTATATGCATTTTTAAACTTACCTTCAGCCATAAACATGCTACTATTTTCAGTTTACCTTTAACTAAAAAAAGTCATGTTCTGTTCTTTCAAGGAAAGGAATATGCACTATGCTCTGTGCTACCTCACGCATCATGCTTTGCACTACACTTTGTGAGAACAAACATGAAATGAAGTTTTACAAATTTACATGATACTGCATAGCTAAACAACACCTAAAAATTAGCACTTGTGATGGAAACTGGTTTTATGAAGCAAATATTATTTATGTGACTACTACATTTTTATCTATTGTTGGTCAGAAGAAATAACATTAATCAAGTGATAAACAAATATTTTAAAAACACAACCACAGATTGGTCAAACTTTATGAGGAAGGTTTGTTCTACACATCATACACTTTCGAAGGGTAAATTGGAGAAGCCAATAAAATTGTCAAAATTTTGTATCTTTATATTTAAGAAAAACAATGCATGAAGGATCTTAAATAAACACTAGATAGATAGAAACAATGCTGCAGAACAGGACAGCGTCATCTGGGTGAATTTCCCAAGGGTGCAAAAATATTTTTGAATTATGTTATTTGAGGACCCATCTCATTGAATTTATGTGGTGTTATATCACTGAATTTACATGAGCCAAGAAAATTGTTTCAATCTTATTCTACCAGCAATTGTAAAAGTAATGATAACCAAACACTTTTTTTTTTTTTTTTTTTTTGTTTAGATTGATATGCTTTTGGTAAACATGCTGCTCCAAAATTTCACAAGTATGAAAATTGCTGTATTGATCTGAATATAAAACAAAGTTTTTCCCTTATAATGTCCTTCTCAAAGTCATATCCAAAATCATACACATAGCCTAACATTTAAATATATATTAATATAATTTATTACTCATGCATTAACTTTTCTGTTTAAGAAAAGAATTTGTTTAAGAAAAGAATTTAGCTAACTTTCTTGTATATCCAGTTTTTCAGTACATCAGACTCACATATGCATGACTGTTCTAGAAATAAACCTTTTTTTTTACTTGTGAAAATCCTTAAGAAGTGTAGGATTATCTTTTAAGTTACAGCTATATTCAAGATATGATATTAAATTCCATTTAATGAGCGTATGCTAAGAAATTATTATCCACAAACAAATCAAATCAAACAAATTTTCTTTCCGTTTATGCCAGAAATCATATTACACATATTTTTAATGATAATGAGTATTATTAGGGCTTTTGCATATAACTGAATGCTGATGCATTAAACTTTTTTGCTTGAAATGATTGGTTGGTTTAACAATTTAAAAAAATAACAGCATATATTTTGGTGTGTAATACGAACCTATGATCGCTGTGACAAATTAGAAGACAAGAGGTAGTGTAAATAAATCTATTTGGGATCTTTCTAGGTTATATGCAAAAAAATTAAAAATAAATAAACTTATAACATCTTGTTCTCACAGTAGGGTGAGGGAAAAGTTTATGTCAACAACACGATGTATAGATAAGGTTTCTGTTTAGAACTGAGCCAAGATGAAAGTTCTTGGTTCTTGTTTGGAAATAGTTCAAGGTGAGGGTTGATTCAAGATGTGGCTGTTTAGAGATAATCGACTTTCTAAGTCGGTGGTTGAAAAGACTGAGCCCGGCTACCCTCACTGTAATCTCTTGGAGATACTAATATTGCTCTACGCAGAGCAAAATAAAATTTGCTCATGGCCGAGCTGAAAAACCGAGAGAAGGTTTCTCTCTCTACTTACTGCAACTCACTCTTACTTGCTCTCTCCTATGGAACTGCATTCCATGATTTTGTTCAAGTTGTCCTGGGTGTGTCAGAAAAAATTTTAGGATCTTCATTGGTCTGTAATTTTTAGAAGTGCCTCTTGATTGGCGAGAGCACTTTGTTTAAAAACTGGATATGATGAAGACAGCCTGGGAAAAAGTCCCTAAGAACTTTCCGGCTCCAACTAGGGACTCAAACCAGGTGGTCTGAGACACTGCACCTATAAACTGATGAAATGGAACAGAACAATGTCTCCCTTTGAATCACTATAAGAGGAACAAAAACTTGAAATTGTTTTGTGACTGCTGGTCACTTCATCTTTCCGAGAATTCGTTAAGAAATACTCTGCCTGTGGGAACTTTTGAGGTGACCATTCTTTTTTTCAGAACTTCGTGGCGGTCAATAAAATAGCTTAAGACGTTACATTGCAAACTCCATGTTTTAATTTTTTAACATATTCTTCATATCATTTGCAACACTTTCTTTATGAAAAAAACCTGAAATGTACACTATGTAAAAAAAGGGGGGCGAAAGTTCTATATCTTCCATTCTGCTAGACCGATTGACGAAATTCAAATTGCATTTTTCATGTTTCGAAAGCACGACTTAGGATATATATTAAGATTTATATATAGCGTTGTTCTAATATAGGTATTTTGACACAAAAATCGGGCTTTTTCTGAAATGACATGCCAATTTTGTTCCATATTTTGATTATGCAACTCAAATTATGCCAAGATATTAAATTTCGTAATTTTTGGTGAGAAATTTAAAAATTTATCTTGGCACATTTTGTTCAGTTTGCACCAAGAATAATTCACTTGTTGAAATTCTTAATTTATAGCAACCTATTTTTCTTTTCTTTTTTTATTGCACACGAGCGGAAAAAAAGGTAATCATTATTGCTTTCATGTGATTTTAACAAAGTGCGTAAACTAAATTTGGCATTATTGTTGCTTATAACAAATATGGCAAATTTCAAAATGCACCACTATGTGAATTGATGTATAGCTTACAAAATTTTGAATAAAAAAACTCTTAGGTTTTTGCAGGTATACTTAGAAATACATCTATTTTAAGATGATGATAAAATGTTATAGGTTATAATTCAAAATCTTTTTCAAAAAAATTTATAAAATTTATTTAAAAATACAAATTAAAAAAAAATAAATCATAAAAAATGGGAGAATTTTATTTGAAATGAACCTAAATTTCGAATTGTAAAAGGAAAAATCAAATAAGTTTAATAAAAAAAACAGAGATTAATAAATATATATTAAATTCAATTCACATGGAGGAGTTATGATTTTGAGAGCTAATTTTTTAAAAAGTACTTGTGCGATTTTCACAAAACTTGCCAGTTTGGCATAGTTAGAATCAAAATATGAAAAAAATTGGCATGTCATTTTAGAAAAAGTCCTATTTTGTGTCGAAATTCCTATATTAGAACAATGCTATATACAAATCGAATAGATATCCTATGACACACTTTCAGGACACAAAAAACACAATTTGAATTTTGTCAATTTGCCCAGTGGAATGGGAGAAACTGTACTTTTTTTTTCACAGTGCCCATGTACAAGGTTTTTATCTTTTGAAGTCATTTAGTAGAAGATTTTTCGCAGGCTTCTAAACAATGGTATACTGAATTGACAAGCAATAAGGAGAACAATTTATGTGTGGAAGATATGCTTAGGAAGTAAATAATTCTGTAAACAGGGCGTGCTGCATTCAGTGCAGATCTGCAAAAGAATGCTATTCTACATGTTCGATAAAAAAAGGCACATAATTTGGGGTAAAAACGTGTTTCTAACACGAATGAATTTTTAGAATTAGGAGTCAGAATGTTTTCTCTCACCCCAGTCATTTGAAGCCGTGATTTTGAAGTGAACATTGAAGGCTTCAGCAAATTACATTTGCTTTAATTGAAACAAAGTTGATTTAGTGTTCCTTTCAGTAGTAAATATGGCTACTGTCAAACGAAACAAACACAGCACTGTTTTCAAATGCAAAGTCATTCACTTTTCGAAAGAAAATGGAAATAGTGCTGCAGCAAAGATGTTCAGTGTTAGCGAAAGCTCCATACATTAGTGAAAGAAAAATGAAATCCCGATAATTAAATGCCACAGAATAAATGTGCTTTGTATAAAGGAGTAATGAAATGGCCTGTTCTAGATGGAAGTGTTATGAACACGGACCTAAAAAATCTTCAGAATGGATTCACTGTAGCAAGAAACACTGTACATTTATTTGCCTTAAAGTGGATAAAAAAAGAATGCAACTGAAATTGAAAACTTTGAAGAAACTTTGAATTGGTGAAGCCGATTTGTGCCATGGAATAATTTAGTTCTACAAGAAAGGTTTTCTAGACAGGTTTCAAAAAGTATGTTACTGACTTACGAGAGGGAGGAAAAATTACTTTCACACATCGGAAATATAAATACAACTCCAGTGACGTTTGATGTGATGGAAAATTGAACAATTGATGCAAAAGAAATAAAACAGGTCACATAAAACAGATTATGAACAAAAAAAAAAAAAAAAAAAAAAAACAGGTCCTGAAAAATCTCATCTTACCAAAGTGTTTCCTTGCTTACCAGATGGCACAAAATTAAAACCCATGGTTATTTTTAAAAGAAAGATGATGCTGAAATGTAATTCCCAAAATAATTTTTTTAATACCATTTGGAAACAGTTCACTAGAAAGGGTGGATGAATGAAAACTTGTAAAATTGTGGATAAGAACTGTTTTGCAAAAGCATCCAGTTGCCTTAAAGAATTCAGAAAATCTTTTAGTTTCGAACATGTTCAGACTCCATCTAACAGATAATGCGTTGAATTTTATAAAAGAGTGTAACACAGACATCGCTGAAGAACACCATTAATGATGCGGATGACTATCATTATTTCTGCCTTTAGATGTATGTATCAATAAACCATTTAAAACAAATTTAAAATGACAGTGGAATATGGATGTTAGAAGGTGAAAAAACATCTACAAAAGGATACCAAACACATCATGACAGTCTAGAAATTGCGCATGAGGGGATAATAAAAACACAGAATGAAATTAAACCCAATATAATTTAAAAGTGATTTTAAATATGCAGTAAACCTAACAATCTAGACAGAATAGAAGGTGATTATTTATTTATGGATTAGAGTAACAGTGATGGCGAAGATGATACAGAATTTGATGATGTGCTTGAAGATATAATGGGAAACGAATATGATGAACTTTTTATGTTATCCAATAATTCTGAAGTTCATAAAGTATGTGAAATTTATGTGCGGTTTTAAAACTTTGAAGTTTATAAAATATACGACTTCTTTTAAATTAGCAGCATTTAAGTACAAGCAGAAATTTAATTTTTTTACACTCATCTTTTCCTTATTTTTAAATCTATCATTTATATATCCGACATTTAATGTGTACCCATAAATTTGGATTTTATTTTTTGGATTAAAGGTGTGCATTATATGCTGAGGTAGAAGGTAAACTGAAATTCTAGATTTAATAGCCCTAAGGAAGAATTTATTAAAAATTTCAAAAAATATTTAAATTTTAAATAAATTTCAAGAAGAAAAATATCATCAACATTTTTTTTTACTTATTTCAGCTTTTTTATTATTTTTATTTATTTAAAGTTATAATTTTTGTAATAAATCTTAAAATAGTTTAATTTCAACTAAATTTAGATAGCTAGTGGTACAAAAAAGTATTTGCTATTACAATTCTTGAAACTATACACTATCATTATAATCGCAGTTCTGGCTTCTAGTCCAATAACCTATGCTACTGAAAGTCAATTATATATAATATATATATATTAAGGAATTTAGAACTAATATTTTACAAAGACCAGAAATTGAAATTCATAATTAAAAATTCATCATTAATAAATTTCAAATAATCATATAAATGCAACAAAGAATTTAAAAATGTTAAAACCAAAACATTTCAAACAAGCAAAGACAAACAAATTGAAACAAACATTTTCTGTATTCAAGTGTACATAAAAATTTTGTATGTCATTATGAAGAGTTGACCTTTTCAAAGCAAGAAAAATGAAAAATCATCTATGCATTCATCGGGATCTGAACTCCAAATTATTTCTGCATAAGCCTTCCATTTACACCATGAAGGCACAAAGTAAGATAGAAGAGTCCCTTATGTTTCTTCCCTACTTAAAAGAAAACTAAGGAGGCCAGAATCCAATTGCCAATCCTGGGGTGATGAATTATTATCCACACTTTTTTAATGTAGCTCCCAATGCAGAATCATTCAGATTTCAAAAAGCAAGAAACATGAAAAATCAGCAGTGCCTTCACTGGAACTTGAACTCTGTATCCTCTGACTGCTAGCTGGATGTGCTTTCCATTTACACTATGAAGGCACATAGTAAGAAGGGAGAAAAACCTTACAATTAGAAGAAGATTAAGAATTGTTATGTAATAAAAAGTAAACAAATTCATAGCATGAACAAAATATTTTTGTAGTTGCTCCCTGAATACAAAAGTATCATTAATGTTATGAAAAATGCCTATTTCACAATATTTTTAAAAGAAGATATTAGAAATTCAAGCTCCTTTTTTTAACAAAATATGCAAAAATACACAGTGTAAAATCTTTTACATTTAATAGTTAGTTATTATTATTACTTTTGTTAAACAGGTTAAATAAAAAAGCATTATCTGTTACAAACAATGATTGCAAATCATTATTAGATACACATATTACCTGCAATACATAAAATTAAACTTTTAATTAGCCAAATTTCTTGTTGCACATTATAAATGCTCTATATGAAATCCTTTTATCACTCAATGCACATTCAGGCTATAGTTCCTTTTACACTGAAAATTATTTGAAGTGACTGACATGATGATGGCTTGTATAGTATGGATTTTTAGTTCAAGGATGGATTGGCAATGGTAACACAAAACAATATCCCCTCCACACTAACACAAGCCCCCCCCCCAAAAAAAAATCACAAGGCCTGAGGTCAGGAGAATTTAGAAGACAGGTGTAGAACTGTCTGTTAATCATTCCTCAAATTACAGACTGGATGAGCTATAATTAAAAGATCTTATACAGAGTATCTGTAATATGTGAGAATAAATTTCAGAAGTTTACCTTCATATATCACAGGTAAATATTTACCGATGATAATATTTATTAAGACCAAACATAATATGATGATTCTTTTTGATTTATTCTACATATCTTACAGACAGGTTTACAGTTATTGTAGAGATTAGACAAAAAGATATGGTAAAAAATTTCACAAAATGCTTTGCATCAGCAAAACAAGGTTTCCTTTTTTTATAAACATTACTAAGTGTTGAGTCCTTAGAAACTAACATATTGTAAAGCATTCTAAGAGATAAACATGGAAGAAGATTTAGAGTTCAGACTTTATTTTACACATTGAGCAATTAAACTGAAATTTCATTAAACACACTTTATACAAAATATGATTTTAAAACTACCTGACATTGTATTTTCTTCCTTTTTTAATTCTTTGCTTTCTAGAAGAGAGTAATAGTGTGCTAGAAGGGGAAAAAAAAGCTTACATAATTTTTTTATGGTTGTCCATGATCTTCCTTTCAAGCTCAGCATCCTGATATGGAATAAACTTGTAACCTGATAAGTATGAACTGTCAGCATACTTCTCTGGATTAAAATCTCCAATATCAGCTATAATAAGAAAAAAATATTTTAAAGAAAATATGCTTGGCAGTAAAAATTTAAATAAATATAATATGAAAATTAATCTATCACTTTTAAAATCAACAATGGTATTACAGACATGCATAAGAGACAAAAAGCATTACTATTCTCCAAACTAATTATTCATTCATAATGCAACTGAATACAAATAAATTAAAATATTAAATGCTAACTCAGTTTGGATATCCTTACTTTAATAACTTGGAATCAAGCTTCTGAAACTGAAATTGAAGGAAGCAGAAAAAATTTACAGTCGTAGAATATTCAAGTTAACAAAATTTTTAGCAAACTGTAACTAAAAATAACAAACTTAGAATATTATTATGCAGATTTAGATATGAAAACAGTTGTGCTTCACATAATGAATGCAATCTGCTCCTCGATGATGTTCATTATAAAGGATGCATTTTCACACAAGCTGTGAAATTTTTTTTATCTAATCTCGGCAAAACTGTCAGCATTATAAGAAATTTACAACTCAAAATCGTAAAAACAACCTTGTATTTAGCGTAATTATATTGAAACACTCAATCGATTTCGAGGGCAGCTAAAGGTCCCTCCTCATCAGGAGAAAGAAGAAAAATAAAGGGGAAGAAGTCTCAGAAACACGTGGTCCTTATCAGCACTGCACGTGGTTATAACCGGATTTTTAATCAGAGTTACACTGGCCGCCTACTTTTACTGAGCCAGGCTGTCTGATCAAGCATAAAGAAATATTAGCGAAGTTAAAATAGGGAGCGAGGGCAAATGCACATTACGCTCAAAATCTGTTCATTTACGCTCAAAATCTGAACAGATTTTGAGCGTAATGTGCATTTGCCCTCGCTCCCTATTTTAACTTCGCTAATTTCTTTATGCTTGATCAGACAGCCTGGCTCAGTAAAAGTAGGCGGGCCAGTGTAACTCTGATTAAAAATCCGGTTATAACCACGTGCAGTGCTGATAAGGACCACGTGTTTCTGAGACTTCTTCCCCTTTATTTTTCTCCTTTCTCCTGATGAGGAGGGACCTTTAGCAGCCCTCGAAATCGATTGAGTGTTTCAATATAATTACGCTAAATACAAGGTTGTTTTTACGATTTTGATTGTCACATTAGCGTGTTTCTCTTCTAGTCAAATTTACAACTATTTAAAAGAATACCAATACTTGAAATGCAAGGAATTTATTGTTTTATTAATTATAAAAATGCATTTCACATGTACACATTTTCATAGGTTTTTCGATTCAGTTTAGATTGACTTTTCCCTCAGTACAGTATGTTTTCCACTTAGTATCATATCTCTTCATGTAACATTCTTCCATTACAGCTACACACTCGTTACAAATAAGGCAAACAGCCTTACTCTTATACTAAGCAAAAAAGCAAAATAATTACCACTTTTCTTGAAAAAATCGTGATTTTTCTTTAATTCTTCTTTTTTCTTACCATGGCTTGCCACTGTGCTCTCATAGGAAGACCCCCCCCAAAAAAAAATATAAACAAAAGAAAAGTAAAAGCACTTCTGAATATAAGATTCTAAAACAAGTATGAGTAACCTAACTTAAATCAACTGTACAAACACATACATTGCCAGCCAATCATGATGGTTACATCCTTTGCCAGCTGATTGTAACACTGATAGAATAATAATAATAGAATTATAATGATAGAATAATAATAATAGAATTATAATGATAGAATTCTATTTCTCCCCTCCCCTCTACACTTTTGAACAAGATACAAGATGCATAGACAAGATGCATAGATAAAGACCCCCAGACATGGTTTCTTTTGTGTTCATTTTAGTTAAGAGAGTCAACACCTTGAAGTGCTTAAAAATATGACCCTTAACAAAAGCAGAGTTGAGTGAGATAAATATCAAATAAAATGCACAGTTTCCAGGAAAGAGTATAATAGAGACATTATTGTTTAATAAAATTATAATTCTGATATATTTAACTATAAATGGAACAAAATAATGAGCTGTTTCAGATCAGAAAGTTATGGAAACAGTGTAATTTGCAACGCAAATAAAATTTAAGTTCCCTGAAATTTAATTCTTTTTCCCTTTCCTGCTAACCAGAACCAGTACAAGCAACAACTCACTCCAAATAAATGTCTTGAGGCTTTATTTAGTGTTTAGGTCAGAAAAACATTTTAACACACCCCTTAACTATTCAAGGCCTGAACAGGTTTTAATGAAAATTTCCAACCGCCGCAAATATTGTCTACACAAACAGTTCACATTGCCATATTTAATCACATTTTGTCAAATGATTTTTGGCATTTGAAAGAAAGAAACTTGCTTTAGAATACTGTGTCGTGAAATTTGTAAAAAAATATTGTTATTATTAAGTACGAGGTGTCTGAAATAGAACTATCATACTACCAGATTAGAACCATCATTTACTTCTAGTTCTGTTACAAAAAGTCAGCAACAGAATGTTACCAAATCATGCATACAACTTAAGGTACTACTGTTATATCATATGACATTGTGAAGGTTTAGTACCGAAAGTACAAAAACAAGGACTGTGACATTCAAGAAGCAGAGTGCTCTGGTCGGCCCTACTGATGTTAATGAGGCCCACCTGCAAAAACTTATGGAAGTAGATCAGTACGCAACCACTTGAAAGCTTGCTAAGGAATTATATGTTAGTGACATGTCCATTAGTAGTGCTATGAATCGCATATACTTGACATATACAAGTTCAATCACTGGGTGCCGCATGAGCTGACTCAAGTAGATAAGGACAGATGTGTTCAGGTCTGGCCGAATGTACTTGACTATCAATGCAAGGGCAAAATTCTGGACCGGATTGTGACTTGTGATGAAAAGTGGATTTACTTCAACAACACAGAAGGGGGCTGGTCTTAGCCCAGTGAGCCTGTCAGCAGCATCACAAAGCACAATATGACTAACAAAAAGATCATGCTTTGTATCTGGTGGGACTGCCATGGTATAATTCACAAAGAGTATCTGGAAAAAGGTAAAAACCCTCGACAGTAAGGTGTACAATGAGATGCTAGTCTGTGTTGGTGCTGCTATCGAAGAAACACGTCGAACTGAGTTCTGGCACAAAAAGGTAATGTTCCATCAAGATAATGCAATTCCACACATGTCTGCATTCACTGGATGAACTCTGTATGGACTCGAATGGGATCTTTTGTCACACTCGCCATATACCCCTGACATCGTTCCTTTGGACTTCTACCTTTTTTCACACCTGCATATCTTGCTGGTGCTATCTTCTATTCTGCACAGGATGTCTGAAATGAGGCTGACCTGTTTTTGGGACTCACGACCATCAAGTTTCTGGGCTGAAGGCTTTGAAAAATTACCAAAATGTTAGCATAGATTTGCGTAGTGATTATTACCTGTACTAATAGTACTGCTTTTAAGTTTTTTTCCTTAATTTTATTGAGAACATTTTTTGGCAAAAACTTTTATTACAACCAGGTATTGTCATTGGCTACAGTAATTCTTTAATTAGCAAGTGTTTGAAAGTGACATTCAGGAATCTAAGTTATTCGGAAGAAAAATCACTTTTACAGCATGCTGTATTTTTATTACTTCCAAATTTCTTTCTTTCTTTCCTTTTTTTTTCGGGGGGGGGGGGGGTAGCAGTCCAGATTTCAAGCTTTGTACTATATAACTTAAATGAAAAAAAAATTCAATTTTCTAATCATATATATTTATAATAGAAAAATGTTACATAAAATGATAGTAGCATTTATACACTGACTTAAAAATGAAGTTAGTAAAACATTCCTTTTGAATTTATAGTACTCCTTCCAAAAGCAGAAATATTACATTGAATCAATGTAAACAGTGTAACAAAAACAATACTTTGTCAGATTTTGCTACCTTTAAGATAATATATTATATGTTTTAAAATACCAAATAAAAATGAACAGCATCTAAAGCATCAACTTGCTTTATTCCAAATAAAAATATATATTTCATTTCTAAAATTTATTACAATTTTTAAATACATTTTTAAGCATCCACAATATAAGAGAACAGTTGTTGTGAGGATGACTAAATTATTTAGAACAGTGTTTCTCAACTGGATTTACTCCAAGGACCGGTAAAATATTTTGGTACATTCGTGCGAACTGGTAAGTTTAATAAGTCAACCCATTGGCACAATTTTTGGACAGACAGCTGGATATTTCGCGGACCGGCAAATATTTCTTGCAGACCGATGCCAGTCTGCGGACCAGCGGTTGAGAAACACTGATCTAGAATACAGCTGAAATACAGATTACTTTGCTCTCAACAATTTTAAGAAGGTTTGATACATTATGTAGTTTGCAATAAAATTTAACTTTGATTCATTAAGAAATAATTTTAAGAAAATGATTTTAACAGTTTTCAAAAATTAAAATTGAAATATGTTAAAATACATTGAATGTTTTTAGTTAAAAGAAGTCTAAGTTATTGAAAGCATTAAAATTAATTTTTAATACATTTTGAATAAATTCAATTCAATTTAAGGAAAATTTCAAATTATTGAAATTCCAGTAATGAAAATTCTGCCATATTTGTAAACTTATCTACATTAGTGTTAACAAAACTAAAATTAATTTAAGACTGTCAAAGTAATGTATTATATAAAACAAATTTAACTTTTGCATTAGCTGAAAGATGTAAATTCGTGTATTTATATGATTTAAAGTAAAGACAACCTGAATTATTTTAAAGCACATCATTATTATTTTTTTTAAATTATCATTAAATTATCATATCATTAAAGCAAGTAATAGACTTATTACCTTTTATTAGATATTAGATACTACTGTATTTCACATATAAAATGTAACAATAAATAAGATGTAAGCTGAAAATATACCAAGACTTATTCAAAATTATAAGTTTATTAAAAACAAATATTAAATGTATGTAACATGAAGCTACATTAATAATTTTGGAAAGGAAAATTTAAATTTTATAGAACTGTTAACATATATCACAGAAGGGCCAAAACATACAATTAAAAACATAAAAATATCTGCATAAGTTAGAAAAACACATGGAAATATTTAACTGAAATTGAAAGGACTAAAATTATTACCTTGAATAATATAAGAGATCATAACTGCTGCAGTATTATCATTGCACTGTAATAAGCCAGCTGCTAAATCTTTTCTTACTTGCAGGCTAAACAAGTACCTATAAACAAAAACAACATTATGCTTCGTTCAATACCTAGACATATATTCAATTCATTACACAAATGTGCAATTAAAAGAATCATAAAAATTAACACTTATACATAGAACACATAAGAAACAATACAAATGTGGACAGGGGAAAAAAAATCTAATTAAACATTTTGACAATTCATGTTCCCAGGACTTGGAGTGTAATGTATGCTAATATTCTACGAATCATTTTGCAAACTAGTTTAAAACACCTTGATTAATTTATAATACTGGTCTTGCTCAGTTTTATCCAATGTATGTTGTGAGCGGTAAATGCTTTGGACTTTGAAGTACAAAACATGACATTTTTATGTTAAAGCCCAAAAAAATCTGCTGCTCAATCCAAATTAAAAGCAAGTTCTAACATCATCCTTAGCAGCACTCACATATAGCACAATCCACATTACTAACAACAGTATTGTTTTATTCATGCTGATTGATAAATAATAGTGTTATAAATCATAGGTACTTTTAATAAAGATAATTAAGATTAACCATAAATAACAGATGAAAATAATGAATGTAGACCCAGTGATTACTAAACCACAGAAATATATACACACATATGACAGCTCTTTCAACTGATTATTTCTGCAGATATTGAATAACACTACTCTGCATCAGTTTATATAAACTGAACAGCCAATATATATACACACACACATATATATATCACACAAGTATACATACATATATTGCTATATATCACACAAGTATACACACACACACACATATATATATATCAACATTTGAATCAAATGCATAAATAAAATAAAGTTTCATTCAATTCTAATAACTCTATCTGTTACTTTTTATTTATTTATTTATTTTAGTCAATGTATGTGCAATTTTAGAAATGGCTTCCTCTTTTGAAAACAGCACAATTTAAATATTGCCCACATGCCTACAGACTGAAGTATATATCAATTAAAATGTGATCCAAGTATAAATAATCAATGAATCATTATCGTGTGCCAACTGCAGCTCATTGATAACCAAGGCTAGATAAACAACATTCACAGAGATCACAGGCCATAATCCAACAAATCACTTACTTTACAACATACAGTTCAAGAACTGTTATATATGGGGATCTGCTGTAGACCGAATCAAGTCACAAAGCTACTTGTACTGACAATAATGTATGAAATGGACAAAAATTCTTCACGAATGAATCATGGATCACTGGGGGGGGGAGTCTTTTGGCCTGACAACCAAAAATATAGCTTATAGGCATATTATTTAGATGACCAATTATACATATTCCAATTATCATCATAAATTATATCACCTGAATATACTGGAGTAAATATGGCTCAAAATAAAAAAACATGATGCTAATGGCTGATGTTTTCATGGGAATTTTTAGAGCCCATTGTTCTAAAAGAAAATCCTTGACAGTTAATAGGTATCCAAACTTTACTCATTCATGTCAAATATATTCAATGCTGATAATTTTTCAGGCACCCACTTTGATTCTCTAGCATGTGTTACACCTAGCATATAACCTGCCATCAACAACTGATAAGTACTAGGCAAATACTTAAAAGAACTTCATTTTTGAGGCAAATCTGAGTTAGATTAATCTAACAATTTTAATTTTTTGAAGACTGGTCAGAAGGTGATTTGAGGTTTGCTAAATTAAGCACTATACTCTAATTGAATGCACATTATTTCAAGTGGAACATCTACGAATTTTTTTTTCAATCTAATACATTAAGAATATATGTATGGACTTATATGCTCAGAGTTATTTGTTCTGATTTTCTTTTTTACTTCAGCTTTTGAGCAGTATAACCAGCAAAAATAAACTGGTGCTCAAAACTCTCATAGCTGTCAGCTAATTTAATGATAGAACTGATATTACTTTTGCTAAACATTGCTCTTTATCATGGCATTTATGGAAATGAAAGAGCTGTATTTTACCTAACAATGCTTTAAATTTTCCTATCAACATTAATAGTAGCTTTTTTTTTTTTTTTTTTTTTTTTTTACAAATGGCGGGCACTTGCCTTTAATGGCATTGGCCACTCCTAAGGCCAGAAGCAGTGACCATTTTATTATGGAGATACCTAATAGATGGCCACCGTTACCTCCTATGAACGGACAGACAGTTTTACATCCATGCCTTCTCCGGGATTCGAACTCGGGCACTTTGGTATCGCAGTCAGGCTCCCCTAACCACTATACTGTCTGGGCGGCTATATTAGCATATATACATGAAATGAAGAACACAGTTCATTTTGTAATGTTGGGCATATCAAAAAATTATTTTCTTCTATTAACCAGACTACATTCTGAGCCTTTCTTCTATATAAATTTTCAATATCTTTTTTTCTATTTGGACACAAAAAATCCATAAATTAGTTTCATTTCAATCTAAGATTAGCACGTGTGACTATTTAAAAAAGTATCTCAGAATGTGAAACATGCAGAAGAGGGTGGAACACCAGAATTTCAAAGATGAGGCGGAATACTTAATTCTCTTCTACTCTACATTTGATGGCCTATATTATGACTACTAAATTTATATATATATAAACTAGGTGTGATTTGGCCAGTGGACTTTTCTATTTTTGTTAAATCCAGATATCCGTTTTCAGTTTTTGTTTGTTTTATCAATTCATGTAATGTTTAATTAACTTATTTTTGAAAGGCCTTATGTTGTATATCTGTGCAGCATACAGTTTCTGAATTTTAAACAAAAATTTAAAAACATGATTATGGCTATTAAAATAGATAAGCCTAGAAGATAATGAACGACTAGGAAAATTATGGCAAACCTGATTTAACGTCTATGCATTCAGTATCACCACATATGAACACAATCAAACATATGTGGTTAACAAACAGAAGCATGCTTATTGGTACATTAGCATCATTTGAATATCAATATGCATGGAAAAATAACAAGCGAATAGCTTTAAAAGAAATCAATAGATCTTCAGTTTTCACATATATGCTCTTTTTTTAAAGCTTTTGTAAGTATTTTTCAGAGCTAATTCCTGACATATTTTAATGCAAAATAACACTTAAAAGTGCATACCTTGTAAATTCATCTTCTAATTGCACAGGATCTGGAGTATAGAATTTAACACAGAAATACATAGTAGGAAATGAAGTTGATATCTGAGAACATAATGGCTTCAAAGCATCAAGCCAGCACTAAAAAAGGACAATATAATACAATAAAACATAAAATAAAAACTAAAATTTTTAGTTTAAATTCGTACGAAATTAAAAAATGGTTGATTAATTTGAGAAGTTCGGTGGGACAGAATGATCAAATTGTAGCTTATAATATGAAATTCAATCTAGAACTGCTTTTTAAATACTAGGCAACTTTTCTCAAAAGATGAATAATGAAATCTAAACTATCAACTCTTAGAAATAGCCAGTTATATAATAAATACCACTGAAACTTTTACTTTAATACGTTTTTTTACAAATGTATGTACTTACAACTTACCAGCCCTTTTGTTTCAACAAAAAATTTACCTTTATTTCCCGTTAAGTAGTTTATGCAAAGTGGTTCAAATATGGCCGAGGCTGACATTTTTTACCAAAACCTTCATTACAAATAAAAGTACAGAACATGTCACCCTTCAAAGTACTCCTCATTTCTGCCAGTGTTTTAGAAGCATTTTCCTGCCTTTGGCTGTGAATCTACTTCTGAACACTGATGCTATTTGCAGAATGCATGCCTTCCCACAGGGATTTAAACCTGAGACTCACAATTGAACCAGTGGGCCCATACTTCATTGATGACCCACATTCTGTAAACGTAAGTGCATCTCTTTCCTCTTCAAATCACTATAGGAGTAAATTAGTGCATGCACATCACTTTGTTCTCATTCGTTATGGGGGTGGTGGTACTACCAGAACTAACTGAAAGCATCAATGCAAGTTCTTTGATTAGTAATATGCCTATTCTCATGAATAACTACATTCACATCATCAATGTCTTGTCAGGATTACAAACATACTCCATGCATTCTTGTCTCTTGATGAAGCACTACACCACTCACACAAGGGTCCAAGAGAAACACTACACCCCATACTGTGCTTGAAGTTTCTGTCAAATTTCAGATTACTAAACTTTTCTTGAACAAGAAATTTGATCACAATACATTGTTCCATGATCCAAGGCAGCTGTTGTTTGTTTATGACTCTCATGACTACCAAATATAACGAAGGACGTTCTAATTTGCATGAGAGGTAAGATGGGAGTAGTGGCTGTACTCATCCAATGACACACAGCACTGTGCATGGACAACAGTTTGAAACAGCAACAATCTTGGTCATATTTGAATAGTCTTCTTGCATATATCATTTTTAAAAGTGTTATTAGTATGATTTGATTGGTCACTAACATGTTTTTCTTATTTTCCCCTGGCAATTGGTTAATATCAGCTAACATGTTATTTGACTACCAGAAAAATATGCCTTCACTTTTTGACATAGTTAATATTGGTTCTAATATTAATTCTGTCAACAGACAGCAATGTTGTAAGTATTTCAGTACAAATTGAAAGTGATACTTACAGTGATATACTGCTTATTTTATATGACAGAGTTTAAAACAGGGTTCAAGGCAAAGTCCAACTTCACAGTCTTTGCACCAGATTCAATACATCTAATTAATAATCAATCTAATTATTAATCTAATCAATAAATATAATTAATAATTCAATAATTTAATTAAATAATCAAGATAATCGCTGAATGTTTTCTAGCAGCCATTTCTGTAAGAAAAAAGAGGCAAAAAGTGGAGTTTGAGCGGTAATACCACATGCCTTCAAATGCCGCAATTTAAAGGACAACTAACAATATCTGTTTGCCAAAACGTAAACTAATGAGCAGATTTTGCTACATTTGAGCTGCCCGTGGAAATTGCGGGATGAGCAGCCAGAGGGTTAATCCCTCCTGATGACAGACTATATAAAACTTTAAAGAAGCATCTTATTGAATCTCACCCACAGAGTGAAGAATCAAGGATGCGTACTTTGCTGCAGAGGTGCAGAACTTGGCAACTCACGTCTATCCCATTTACTTGTGTGCATGCACAATCTCACTCACGAGATTATGCACACATTGAAGTAATGACAAATACTCACAGGCGAGTAAGATTACTCACAGTGATGAATACTCACAGGTGACATTGTAGGGGAAGCACTCCTCAAATCTCTCTGATTTGCACGTTTTCCTGCTATCACAAGCAGCATCCATCATGGGGCATTTAATGATGGACTGTCACAGTTGATTGTTTTGGCAGACAAATTTCATTATCTGGTCACATCTAATCAAATCATTGCAGTATGCAGTGCACAACCACAAAAATTTCCCACTGGATGAACAAATTGCACAGCTCACTCAGCAAGTACTGGCCGCAACTGTGCACCAACATAGCCGCTTGAGAGATGGTAAATTTAAAAATCATAAAGGGCACAATCTCAGAGGACACTATAAAGCAGCAGCAAACAATCCATGTTTCTATCATATGAATTTTGATTTTAATACTAATAAATGTAATCCCCTATGCTCTTCCTGGCAACAGGGAAAGTACTTCGGCAATCACATTTGGGATATAATCGTGACTGCCATGTAAATTGATTCTTTTAGCTGATCCTTCATCCAAATGAAATTTTTGATTGACATGGAAGCAGACATTTTCATCCTTTTGGTCAATCCCATGAAATAATCTGTTGTGAATAAGGAATTATTTTATGCCACAAATGGAACAAAAATACCAACCTTTGGTAATCATTGTCTGACTTTGCACTGAAATGTATGGCGAAAGTACATTTGATCTTTTGTAATCACCAAGGTTATAGGCAGTAATTTTCTAAATCAATTATATAACCTATCATAAATACATCATATAACCTATAACCAATCATAGGCAGTAACTTTCTAAAGAAATTTAATCTATTAGTTGATGTTAAAAATAGTCATATAACTGATGCCGAGATAATGCTCTCTTCAAACGAAAAGGTTGCTCATATTATCCGTGTTAGCAGTACCTTAAGTGTTCTTTTAATCCCTACAAGTTTCATAAAATTTTGACTGAATATTCAAAAGTTAATAAGCCTTTATATACCCCTAAAGACTAAACAAATCATAATGCCATTCCCCACACTGGGAGATCAAGGAGCTTCCATTATTGTCTAAGCCACATTGGCTATCGCCTGAGCTCCTCACCAAGAATTTGAGTTTTTCGTGGCACATGGTATTATGCGTCTGTCAAACAATGTTTGAATAAGCCCCCTTCATATGTAAAAACACAAATGGTACATGGCGCCCTGTGGCAATTATCGTGACTTGAATGTCCATCACTGTTTCAGACTGTTATATCCTCACTCATATACAGAACTGTACCCAAGTATTCTATTAGAAGAGAGTATATACAGCATCAGATTTAGCTCAGGTGTTTCACCAGATCACAGTTAATCCAACTGACATTAAAAAAAAAAAAAAAAAAAAAACTGTAACAACCCAATTTGGTTTATCTGAATTTCTGTTTATGCCATTTGGCCTCTGTACTGCACAGCAGACTTGTCAGAGATACAAGATACATACTTCAGGTGTTAGGCGGCCTAGAATTTCATATACCCTAATTGTATAACTTCCTAATTGCATCGTTAAATGAGAACAAGAGCCATCTTAGATAAGTTTTAGATCCCCTCAGACAGTATGGGTTGAAACTATTTCCAGCTAAATGTGTTATATGAACATTCTCTGAGGCCTTTCTGGGTTGCCTTTTAACACCTTCTGGGGTAAAACAGCTCTCCGAATAAACTCAAACAATAGCCCAATTTTCAAAGCCTGAAATTATTATAGAATCATGATACTTTTTGGGAATGTTTAAAATTTACTGTTTCATCTCAAACACTGTCAAAACCCAAGCACCCTTGAAAGAACTACTAAAAGATACCCCCTTAAAAAAAAAAAAAAAAAAAAAAAGACAAATGCCCGGTACCTTGGTACGATACTTTAGCACAAGTATTTGAAGCATATAAACATGGTCTTATGAATTCGGTTACTCTAGCTTATCATGCTCTCCATCAACAACTATCTTCGATAGCATTAGTTTTGCTACCAAGCAATGGTACAGCATCTATGACAGAAAGCTCTTAGCAATCTATTCAGCTGTAAAACACTTTCAGTATAGTTTGCAGGGCAGGCATTTTACAATGTACACGAACCATAAACCTTTAAATGCTTTTTCAAAAAGGGCCAATTCAGGTTCCCCTTGGCAACTCAGACACCTCAACTACATATCACAATTTAGTATCGATATCAGACATGCTACTGGATCCATTAACATAGTGGCATAACTTTATCCTGGATAAACAAGATCCATCTAGCTTCAATTGACTTTTCCACTATGGCTGATATCCAACTTGCTTGACTGATATACTAATATACTAAGCCTGATACAACACCTTTGATTCAAACTTTTGCATATGTGTCTTAATTTAAAACTTTAGTGTTGTGCTAGCCCTGGGAAAGTTCGACTTCACATTCCAGAAAAGTTACACAACTCTATCTTTAGAAGCAGCCATTGTTTATCACATCCAGGTACAACAGCCTCCCTTAAACTTATTTAAGAATGATTTGTGTAGCCAGGGATGTTAAAAGACATATCGAATTGGGCACAGTTGTGCACAGACTGTCAGAAGTCCAAAATTCATCAACACACTCATAGCCCTTTACTATTCATTATGTTTCTCAAAGGAACAACAGGAAAGTTGTTCCTTTGAGTTGAATACGTTCACCTTGGCATTGTGGGACACTTGCCTCCATCTGAAGAATATCTTGTCAACTTTCATAGATTGTTAGTCCCATTGGTCTGAAGCAATATCTGTATAAGATATTATGACCGAAAAAATCAGCCACACATTTGTTACACATTAACTACTTATATTTTCGGTACAAAGGAACCAAAAATGCAGAGTACAATTATTGAATCAAATTATTTGTTTCATTTCCATCATGGTTTTAAAAACTTTTTTAAAGAATTAACATAATTTTAACAAAAGTTCTGCTAATTCTTTAAATTGCTAACTAATTTAACAAAATTAGTCAATTATTAATTAATTATTAACACAATTAGTTAAATATAACACAATTAATAAATAATTATAAGTTTTTAAAGTAATTTAGCATCACTGACTTCAAAATTTCTGTAATGGAAAGAACATTATATAAATATTTCTTACTGTAATTTCAAGTTGAAGAATATCTTTTAAGATTTATACAACTATTCAGAGATTTATACATTTACTACTTTATGATGCAAATTTTTAACCAGTTTACAACAATTCAAACAGTAATACCTTAATTCCTTTATCATCTTCATATTCAAGGCCAAAATAATCAACTTCTAACAGGTTAAGAAATTTACAAACTTTTTCAAACAAGACACTGCCAAGGTTTTTACTCTACAGGAAAAAAAAAATTTTTTTTTTTAGTATTTACTTCTCAGCAAACTATGAACTCTGAAAATACTGAAGGAACAATAATTAAAAAAAAAAAAATAATAATAATAATGCATCTTAACACAGATATTATTCACTACAAATTTACTACTAAAAAAAGTATTAAATAATAAACATGTACAATAAAAGACCAGAAATCCACAATGCTTGGGACCAGAGGTTGTGAAAATTTTAGATTTTGCAGATTTCAGGACAGAAAACATAAATCATAACATTTAAGACTGAAATGCAAAATAAATAAGGACACATACAGTAAAGACAAATGAATGAAAACAAGGGACATGAATAAAATATAAAATTATTCTCTCTCTTTTTTCTTTTTACATTTCAAACATTTTTCAGCACATAGAGGTTTGCTTTAAAAGTTTAAGTGCTCCAGAGTACCTTTTTTTTTGGGGGGGGGTAAATTATGTACAGTCATAATCTCTTGCTCTGCAAAGCACCTCTACTATTCTAAAAAATTTTGTTATTTTTTACCATGTTCCAAATCTTCATTAAAAAACATTTTCTCACTCCTATCAACTTTACTATCTGTGTTGGTATCGTTGTTGTTTTCTGGTTTTGCCGAGTTTGAAATAAGCCAATAATTTCATCATTGGCCATCTGATATGCCATTGTTGTCTCACCTGGGCTTATCACCCATTTAATGATATCTTCTTCTTGCAAAGCTTCTTGCATTTATTCTTTCTTTTGAATACAGAAGTAATTCTTTTGCGTCTGTATTCAAAAGAAAACTGACCCTAAAACCAGACTGTCATCGCTCTCAATCTGAACAAAAAGAGAAGATGGCCACATTTACTAATGTTTTTCTGGATACCGAATTCCATGATTCTGCAAACAAACAGATGCAGTCTTCGATGGTGAATTATTTTATATATTCACAAAGCGAAATAAAATGGTCATTTGAAAGAATTTCTTTCAAAACTCCAATTTGTAGTGGCATTTAATTATGTGTATTATGCCCTGGTCTATTTGGTTAGATCAATGACGTAGTATTGGGTGGACAAAAAAAAAAAAAAAAAAAAAAAAAAAAAAAAAAAAAAGGGCATGCATTTTAATGCATGACATCATCATGCATTAAAATGGTTGCATCTGGATGTGCAGAGCAGTTGTCTAACAACAGTAAAATCTTGCAGTTTGATGGTAGCCCCACAATGTTACAGTACCTTCTAGTTCTTTAATGAAATGTTCCATGAACCATTCAGTCATAAGTTTGTTTTGCAACCCAGTAATTTTTATAATTCCTATACATCACAGGTAATGATTTTAATCCTTCAAAGCTCTGGGATTGGTGCTGTTATACATACTATTGTTTTCATTTGTAATTTCCAGCTGCAATGCTGCATACTAAAATAGTAACTCTTTCTTTAACGTCTTCACCCTAATGGTGCACTTTCTTCACTTGTCACAAATGTCTTTCTGGGCAAGTTCTGCCAAAAAAGTCCAGTCTCATCCACATCAGAAATCTGTTATGGGCTAAGATTTTCTTTTGCCACCGCACAGAAAATTCATCAATAAATTCCTCTGCAGCATCTTTATCTGTTTAGAACTTTTCTCTACAATATTTCAGATAACATATACCATGTCTTAGCTTAAATGTGCTTAAATCTCAGTGGATAACTGGCTCCTATTACAGCTACAGGAGTTCTGAGAAGAGGGAATTCTTTGGCTCACGAAACAGGGGAATAGTTGCACTCAGGCCTCTGGTGAATAAAGACTTCAATATATCCATAGTGTCATTCCATACCTTTCATTTGAATACCCCTTATATTTATTTTATACATTTCAAGTGTACAAAATTTTACTGAAACTGAAGTTTTTTATTACTTAAGCCTTGTTCACATGACAACTCACTGGCATTGCTACAGCTGAAACAGATAAAAAAGAGATTTTAAAGCAATTTACTTTTTATGACCCATTCAGAAGCCCACTGTCTTCTTACCCTACACCCATACACTATTAAAACACATAAATAAAACTACTACACGGTTTGTACACATATTTGCACATGGAAATTAAGGACTTTTAAGGACCATTAATGAAAAAAAATTAAGGACCAGCAAATATGAGCTAAATAAATTAAATTCAATCAGTTTATATCTGAATTTAAGTTTTGTAATAACGTTCTAAAAATAAAATAGATCTGTAAGTAGGAAGCATTCTTATTAAACATAATTTAATAAACATAACTATAAAACAAATTTGAGAATAAAATTTACTTTATAAAATTTATCAAGTAGCATTAAATATTTTACATGCATAATAGTTGGACATATTTGAAAGAAGATTAGGGACATTTTATTAACAGCTTTATGTTGATTTTTTCTTTTATGTCTCATTTTGTCATGTACTTACTCAGTCTAGAGGCTTAATAAGTAGCAGGTAGATTTTATGTCAAATGACATAGGTTAAAATGAGAAATAAAATCATAATCAGCATGATTCTTAACAGAAGATTAGCTCTTGCTAGTGCTGCTGCTTGCCAAGAGAGAGACCTGTTGATCAGAAAAAATCTGAAAGCCTGATAGAGGCATGTTTAGTAAGTTTTGAAAGTTAGTTGTGCTTCATCTGTCTGAAGCAGTTAATGTTGTACCTTCATATAGAGTTTCTGGAATTGTAACCTGGTCAATATATTTTAAGGTTTCAATAAGCCACTAATGCAGCAGAAGTAATAAGTTGTTTTGTATTATTTTAAGTCTCACTAGATGCAAAGAATAAGTTTAGAATTGCTCCTACATTTTTGTGCTGTATCTTGTGGCCACAGTAATGATTAATGGAAAGCAATAACTTGCTTTAATATGCAGAGATAACTTTTAAGGGTGAGCAGTTAGTTATAAATAATTAAATTAGGTAGCTAAATACCCTTAGTCGTTATTGATTTAAATAATGGCTAACATGGCCACTATAAAAATCACAATTTAATAACATTTCACAGTTTAAAATACATGTAATTTATGACACTGATTCTTAAAAAGTATTAGGATAATTACTCATTAAAAGTTCCAAAACAAAATATTTATGCGTCTTTTTAATTCAAAGTCTTCCCAGACATTTTGGCTAAATAATATCAATTTTCTTCTCTTAATTGTAGTAAAAAATTTAAATATTAGCAACAATAATGCAAAGATGAATAATTACAAATTATTAGAGTTGGCAGGAATTAAGGCAACATCCAAGAGGAGGGCAAAAACATTCTGTCTTACAATCCAAAAATCTCAATTTAAAAACCATCTGATTTGCATTATGGTGAGGAAACGGAAAGGGGAAGTAATAATAAAGGCTAAAATTCCAAACAACTATATAATTTACATAATAATAACTGTACATATCTTTGAAGAATAATTTCCTTTCTATTTATGTACTCAGTTTCTTTCAATATGTTTCCTCTTCACTTTAGAATTTTTGGAATTAAAGATTTCTGCTATTCTAAAAAACCAAATGCATTTAGAATACAGTCAAAAGTCGTTAATTCGGACACCCATAATCCGGAATGATCTATAATCCGGACCTTAAAGCTAAAATCTTTCTGCGCATGCGCCGCGTTGATGCATGCTCATAGGCGTTTTATGCGTGTGCTCAAGACATTTACGACTGCGCATATGTGTCTGAGCAAGCGCAGAATATGTTTTCGCATGCGCGTTTAATGTATAACGGACAGTATAAGCTAAAATTATCTAATTATCTATTTCAGTTAATGTTGATGATTGCGTTGTTCCTTAATCTTCGAATTGGATCCGGCTTATTATTTTTTGCAGACAGTAAGAGCAATTTTATAACAGTAAGCTTGAACTTTCGATTATGTCAAATAGAATTTCCGATGCTGGAGCTCCCAAAGGATCTAGAAAGCGAAAGTATGATTCGATGTCCATCAAACAAAAAAACGAATTGCTACAAAAAATGGATAAAGGTATATCCTTTGTTTATCTAACCGTTCTGAAATCTGTTTATCAATTTCACGCTGCTCTCCGCGAGGGGGAGACGTCGCGGCACGCAATGAACTGGAAGTTGATCTGTCAGCACTATCGTTATCTTCAGGGCAGATGTTTTTATTTTATTCGGCTTATAATTCCTTACTAAATGTAGTATTTAATCTCGATGTACTCCATCTTTGATATGATTTAAATCAAATTCCTCGTCGTTATAAATATCATGAATACAAATCAAATAGTTTTCTGGTTGCAATTTTCTAATTTCGGCTATGCGTAAGGTATGCTTTATGCATGCGCGCGTTGAAAGAAATGTTTAATAAAGTAAACAAATAAATATTAAGCTTCTTTTTTTTTGTAAATTTTGATACCCTTTAGATCATAATTGCTCATTATTTTATAAATTACGGTTTCATATTTTTAATTTTATAATTTCTGCATGCCATTTTTACCAGATTTAAACTGATGATCTATAATCCGGAAAAAATCGATAATCCGAAGTCCCGACGAGTCCGGATTAAAGACTTTTGACTGTAATATCTTTTTAGTTATGAAGGTTGTGAGAGGAATAAAGCGCTTGCAGTAGTGCATTGTGGAAATATTTTATCTACCAGAAAAACATGTTCATGACTATGTGAAATTATAAATATTTTTTCACAGAGAAGTAAAATAGCCATTCAGTAAAATTTTAATTCCAGTCAGAGACTGTTTTCTTGTAGGAAGAAAAATAAATTATTGCTCATTTCCCATAAATATGCCTAAATGAGCAGTCAATGAGTAATTTAATTAATTTTGCTTTTTATGGGATGTGTTTGAAAACTGTAATATTTCAGTAATAACATAGATTATGAAATATTTGCTTCTACGGTACAAAGTCTGAGAACCAGACTCGCCATGACTTCGGCAGTTCCAGATTTGGAATTTTTCTGGATATTGGTCACATAATACAAGTTATTAACCTATATTATTATAGAATCTATAAATTACTAGAAACAAGTTAATATTTTGTGAACAATTTATGTAATTTATGAAAAGTGTAGTACAGTCAAAAGTCTTTAATCCGCACTCGTCGGGACTTTGGCGATTCCGGATTATAGATCATCAGTTTAAATCTGGTAAGAAGCATGCAGAAATTATAAAATTAAAAATATGAAACGTAATTTATAAAATAATGAGCAATTATGATCAAAGGGTATCAAAATTTACAAAAAAAAGAAGCTTAATATTATTGTTTACTTATAACCATTTCTTTCAACGCGCGCATGCGTAAAGCATACCTTACGATAGGTGAATTCATTTTTGCATACAGCCTAGGATGGCTGTATGTGTAATGAACATCTGAAGATTGCTTTCTCATTGTGATAACAATCCAGAACTAACTGATGAACCACGGTTACTTTTGATTACAAAATCATATTTATCTCTAGTCTGTATATTTAGAATTGTTCCAGTTACCATTACATTCCTGAAGTTATAATGCCAATTGCTGTGTCATACCAATATCATAGCAGTCTATGGCATTTCACCTTTCTTTTGAACAATGTGAAAGCCTATGCCATACTGCAGTGGTCTCAAACCTCGAACAGTACGTGGCACGAATCCATGATCTAAAAAGAGCTAAAGTGGCACTTTTTTTTTTCTTTTTTTTAAATACATGAAAAAAAATTCTTCAAATTTTTTAACAAAATGATAAAAAAGGTTAACAAAAAATATGTGAAATAATTTCAAATTTTGCTTACTAAATACTTTTACAGTCAAAAGTCTTTAATCCGGACTTATCGGGACTACGGCAATTCCAGATTAGAGGTTTTTTCGGATTATAGATCATCAGTTTAAATCTGGTAAGATGGCATGCAGAAATTATAAAATAAAAAATATGAAACCGTAATTTATGAAATAAAGAGCAATTATGAACTAAAGGGTATCAAAATTTACAAAAAACAAAACAAAACAAAAAAAAAAAAAAAAACCACTTGTTTAGTTTATTAAACATTTCTTTCAACGCGCGCATGCATAAAGCATACATACGCATAGTCGAAATTAGAAAATTGCAACCAGAAAACTATTTGATTTGTATTCGTGATATTTATGATGACGAGGAATTTGATTTAAATCATATCAAAAATGGAGTACATCGAGATTAAATACTACATTTAGTAAGGAATTATAAGCCGAATAAAATAAAAACATCTGCCCTGAAGATAACGATAGTGCTGACAGATCAACTTCCAGTTCATTGCGCGCCGCGACGTCTCCCCCCTCGCGGCAGAGCAGCGTGAAATTGATAAACAGATTTCAGAATGGTTAGAGAAAACAAAGGATATACCTTTATCATTTTTGTAGCCAATTCCGTTTTTTGTTTGATGGACATCGAATCATACTTTTGTTTGTAGATCCTTTGGGAGCCAGCATCGGAAATTCTATTTGAACATAATCGAAAGTTCAAGCTTACTTTTATAAAATTGCTCTTAACAGTCTGCCAAAAAATAATAAGCGGATCCAATTCGAAGATTAAGGAACAATGCAATCTGCAACATTAACTGAAATAGATAATTAGACAATTTTAGCTTATACCGTCCGTTATACATTAAAACGCGCACGCGAAAACGTATTTGCGCTTGCTCAATGCATATGTGCAGTCGTAAATGTCTTGCGCGCACACGTAAAACGCCTATGAGCATGCGTCAACGCGGCACATGCGCAGAAAGATTTTAGCTTTGAGGTCCGGATTATAAATCATTCCGGATTATGGGTGTCCGAATTAATGACTTTTGACTGTATATTTATTTATAATTACAAATTCACATAGCAGTGCAGTATGAAAATACAATACATGTTCATATATTATGATGTGGTGCAACTGCTTAATCCCCAAATTTTGAACTGAAAAATCTCAAGTAAACTATATCACAGAAAATTGAGTTCCCACAGTGGTTCCTTTGTTAGTTACATATTGATCTAAACAAATACTTCCTAGTTGAAAAATAAAAAAATACAATTACTCTGAAAACATTAAAAAAAAAAACTGCTTTAAAACTGTTTAATTTGCAGATTTGAAACAGCAAAATCGTATGATAAAAATAGAAAATGCTGATTTGAGAGATTAGGCAACAAATAGAATATTTTTGTAATTTTTCATACATTAAAACGTCAAAAGAATAGCATACCAAACTTCATAGGTAATCATTCTGATACTTTCTGCTTGTCTGCTCCTCCACAAGAAAGCTGCGAATTCGTTGTTGACTTTGGAAAGCAATCACAAATTCCAGCAAACTGATTTTTACTACGGCTACAACATTTTTCAAGAAGATAATGCACAAAAGGCAAATGCCATTTTCAAAACGGTGCTTAAAAATATTACTACAAATTTCATACAAAAGCAGTCAATCAAATAAAATTTTAAATGTAAGAAAATTTTTGTAATAAAACACTCACCGAGAAATCTTTCTTTTTTGCACTTATTGCTCCCCATGAACACAATGATCTCTTTTCACTTAAAAAAGATCAGAGAATAGTACAAACTCTGTATCATACAGTTTTCGTACTGTGAACTCACCATGACAAATGTGCTACTTGCATAACTTTCCCTTTTTTTCACCGTTGTTCTTCTCATGTATACAACAACTTATTTTCATAAAAAAAAAAAAAAAATCAGAAAACTGCACAAACTCAACATCATACAACTTCGGCATTTTGCATTGGACAAACAAGATGTGCTTCACACATACCAGAGTTGCCACATAAATACTTTTTGGCAATATTGTAGGTTGCCCCAAAACTATTTTGACAATATACTCTTTTGCCTCATGAGTACTTTCCTGCAACTTCTCGGTAGGGGTTGAGATAACCAGAAAGTACCATTATTTTCATTTTTACAGTAAATTCATACTACAGTACAAAGTCTGTAATCCAGACGTCCATTATCCGAAATGATCTATAATCTGGACATCAAAGCCGCAAACTTTACGCATGCGCGTAGAGAATGCATATACATTACGCATGCACGTAATGTATGCTTTACACATGCGCACGTTGAAAGAAATGTTTAATAAATTAAACAAATAAGTATTAAGCCTTTTTTTTTTTTTTTTGTAAAATTTGATACTTTTTAGATCATAACTGCTCTTTATTTCATAAATTACGGTTTCATATTTTTAATTGTATAATTTCTGCATGCCATCTTACCAGATTTAAATTGATGATCTATAATCCGGAAAAACCCCTAATCCGGAATCGCCGAAGTACCGACGAGTCTGGATTATGGCCTTTGTACTGTATTTCTTTTTTTAATATCTGATTTAAAACAAAAAATGCAGCAAGAAAGAATTTAGAACAATAAAATGAAATGAGCACTCAATATGAATTTTATCCTTAAAAATTGACTATAATACTAGTTACAGTAATAAATAAAAAAAGACAGAGACATGTATTTCCTTCAGGACAATGTTTATAAAATTTCAATTTTTGATCCTTTAGAGGAACTTAAATTGGTAAAAAAACACATAATCACCTGTAACTGAAATACATGGCTAGAATCATCTAAAAAATAGACTGTAACATTCATGATTTTTCGGCTTTTCTGAACAGGTACGGCTTTGCCATCTTGTCTCTTGGAATGTTCAGATGATGTGTGATGAGGTGATGACATTTTTTATAGAAATATAAAACTGAAACAGAAAAAAATTCAAAACTGATTAATGACTGCTAAAATATCATGTGCATTATTTAAGCACAATGATATAACGTTTAAAATTTTTGAAGTTCATTTTTCAAAACTTAAATTTCTCAAAGGATATGCAACTTTAATGATTGTAGTCATTTAATAGCTATATTCTTTTAATGACTAAGATAATAATAATTTAACAACTATATTATTTTAATGGCTAAAATTATAATACTTTAAAAGCTATATTCTTTTAATGACAATTTAAACTGTTCTTTATTATCTCTAAACAAAATAAGATGAAGACTCATTTAATGAAAAAAATTGTACTTAAGTATTATCCCATCAACTGTGAAACAGTAACCAAGCAGTAAGAGTTGGCACCAATTATGGAAAAGCCTGAAGCAACACAGTCATAATATCTGCTCTTTCATTTGATGTAACCCCTATTGATTCTCAATAAACCATCTTTTGGTTTGATAAGTAAGGCTATAAATTAACTGTTACTGCTGTGCTTTTTTTTCCATTTAAATAATAATAATAATAATAATAATAATAATTTGGGACCTGCTTTCGACGGAAAAGAAAGCATTGGATTATTTTCAAAGGAATCACACCATTAAAAAAAAAAAAAAAGACAAGATATGCTCAGCTGAATGTAGCCGATAAAATAGTAATAGACTGGAAAAATTACCTGAGGGAATTTTGTACTCATAGCGTTCTAAACAGGGCTTTCACTAAAACTGGAGAGCTTTAAAAAATACATTACTGATCTGTCATCAGGGGACTGGATTCAGAAATGTATGTATGTACACATATATGTGTGTGTATACAGACTCACATACATGTATGTACTTATACATATGCATACATGAACACAGACATCTATACACATATGTGTACATACATACATTTCTGAATCTGGTCCCGATAACAGAAGAGTACCCAAAATACTCCTCCATTAATTTATTTTCCTCTGTCCCACAATAATAGTAGCAAAGGAAAAAATATACATAGAATAGAATACTTATTATCAAAAAACTAGGTTAGATTAAACAATAAAATAAAAATATTACTCTTAATTTTTATTCTGGGTGTTCAGATAGTTTCTAGACTTTTTAATAATTTAGAATGGGTTGATATTCAATCGAAAGAAAACAACTGATTTTAATTAGTAGATGAAAAAAGAAATATAGCTATACTTTTTAGGTTAACCTAAAAACTGAACAATGTGTTAAAACAAATGATAGATGTCATGAAATAATGATTTTGATTGAAGCTTCACATTTTTGAGCAACAGCATAATTTACAGTGATTCACCAATAATTCCCGTTTTAATATTCTCTACTATTATTATAGAACAGAGAGAGCTGTAGAAACTGACAAAAGGATTTTTACAAATTGCGAAAAATGAAGCATATCAAATACTGATTGTCATTAAATAAAAAAGCGTCAGTTCATTCAAAATTCCGCAGGAACAGTTGGTGTAACCCTAGTGGGATCTCTGCCAAATTTCATGGTTGATGGAATAATATGTAAGTACCAAAATTACTTACTAAATGAAAGTGATCAAATAATTTGGAACCAAACTGATAACATGTATTTTAAATATGCACTAATATGAATAAAAACTAGTGTAAACACAAAAAATATTAGCAGATACATAATCCACAAAGATAAACAGTTATATGCCTATATCCACAGTTTCATTTAGCTAAAATTCCAAGAGACACAGAGAGAAAAATTTTTCTCTCTGTGTATCAATTCTTAATATACTATATTCACTTCAATTTGTAATACAGTCGAAATACTGGAGTTCAGATTACCCATGCATAGTTTATGGCCAATATAACTAAATACGCTTTGACTGTCACTGTCGAAATTAAAATACTCAGGGTGGAATCCTATGAATATTCTCCTACAGGAAATCCCAGAAACTCTGACTTTAACACATCTATATGGTCATAAGCTTGCTGGTAGACAATTCAATCGTTAGTTGTCAAAGAGGATTTAATTATTATCATATCTCTATTGCTTTTTAAAGTTTCCCTTAAAAAAAGGGGGGGCCCTTAAAATGTAAGACTAGTGCTTTTACAAATCATGGAAGCTAAAGTGTGCTACAAAGATATATAATTTTTAATTCCACCTTACTCTGGAATAGTGTTATGTTAAATAGTGTAACAACTGTATTTCTTTCACTAGTAGCCAAGCAGTAGGAACACTGAACACTAGTAGTTCTATCCACATTCAAATTCCATTAGCAGTTCGAAGCATAGCAACTTTTATGCTTTTCTCCATGTACATCTCAAAGTATGCCAATCTCCTTTAAAATACCCTCTAAGAAACCCAGCTTCCTTTTGGGAAATGCCCCTTGTATGCATTCTCAAAAATCCAAGTACTAAAATTCTTCATTTTCTCAATAGATTTTTTTTTTTTTTTGAGTTAATATATTAAAATCCCTTATTGACATATAACAGACAATGTATGCTAGCAAGGAATATATTTTAAGTTTAATTTGGTAGTATAGCATAAAACGTAATATTATGCAATAGCAGCTACGTGGTCAGCCTTCATCTGGCTTAAATATACCGGAAAAATGCCCGAAGAAAACACTAATTGTTAAATTTTAAAATTCCACAGAATTTTACTCTGTGAAACAACTTCATATATTAAAAAAAACTTTATTACATATAACAAAATTACAATGAAATAAGCGATATCCCTTAATACAGATATTAATTATCCTAATAAATAAATTAAACAACTATCACCCTCATTTTTCCAAGTAGCAACAGTGCTGATTTTCAACAGTCAGCAGTCCAGTATACAATTGAATGAAACACTGGTGCCAAAACCTCATTTCTAAAAAATTGAAACTATTCAAAATGATGCGAAAATCAAAAAGATAAAATTAAAAAAAAAACTGATTCGAATTTTGAAAAAAATCGCTTCGAGATGCACTGGCTCTTGTCTAGATGCACCTATATACTAAATTTCATAGCCCTGAGTACATTAACTTACGAATGAAAGACACACAGACTCTTTCTTCTATTATATGTAGAGATAAAGTATTTCATTTCCTGTATTTAATGTAGGTAGTGTCTTAATTGCATAACTTATCAATTAAATTTAACTTTAATTATGTAGCCTACATGAAGATCATGTTTCATGCAGCATTCACATTTAAATGTCACTAGGAAGCACAAGAGAGACTTTTTTCTTTCAACAGAATTATTTTAAACTTCTGTTGTCTAAGCTCACATTCTGCTCTTGTATTTTATTGGTATGCCTCTTATACTTAGCATTTTTATTTATATCTTCCAAAGACATTTTATGCGTTGGAAATAAAAAACAAAAATACAGCATTTACTATTATCCACAGTAAGTTTTTCAAACCTACTGATTGTGTAAGCTAGGATGTTACTATAATAATAATAAAAAATATCTATTCATAACATTTAAATTGCATGCTGTAGCAAAAATATTTAAGTAAAACTTTCAAATTACCATCACTATAAATAAGGTTATTTAAAACAATACATGTATTCAATTATTCCTAAAATATAAACTATATATGAAGTCAAAATACACAGATTCCAGATACTTAAAGTATAACTGATATCAAAACATATTAAATATCCTAAATCTAATATACTTAACGTCATGTAATATAAGGGGTTCATGATTTAAAGCTACAATCTTTATCACTTATACATTTATTCACTAGCTTTAAGCATAGTCTTGTGAGAATATTTATAAAAAGTTCACAACCAATTTCTTACGGATTGTGGAATTAATACAGGGTCATTCATAAAGAAGTATACAGTTTCAATGCACTGTAAATCAAAAACAATGTAAGATATTATATGTTACCTGTAACAGAATTGTATGAGATTAGGTACTATTCCGTTTTCAGGACCGTAAAAAAACCGCCAAACTATAGTTGATGCCAGTCCTGCCAAAAATAATTGCGGCAACCTTAACACAAGAAAGGAAGTATAATAGATAGTAAATAACTATTTAAAGATTATTGTTTTAATTTATGTGAAAGGTTAATTTCATATAACACTTTTTTAGGTACTATTCCGTTTTGAGGAGTGTAAAAAATTGCAGCGAAAATGTATGCGCAAAAGCGCCAAATCTAACAAATGCGCCCATTTAACTGCGCACCAAATCTACCATATGCGATGATTTCAGATTGCATAAGTTTATATCGTTCTACATTTCTTAAGACACCTGTCACGTATCTGGCTACAGTGAGCCAATCAGCTGCCTCCAGAGCCCAGCAAGTGAGAGAGACGTCAGTTGCATGTTAGCCTCAGAGGAGGAAGGTGGTAGATTTTGCTAGATTGTACGAGCGAGGTACTGATGCGAGTTTGCTATTATTCTTTGAACGTTAATTTTTAATAAATGTTTGTTTCGTTTTTTAATGGTGCCTTATTCATCCGTGAAGCCATTACAGCACGCTCTCTTTCGAGAACCAGAGCTAACGAAGCCGACTGGATTTTGGAGAAAAGGTGAGAAATTTTTGTTGTAACTTTAAGGAAAATTTCTTCTAAATATGTTTAAAGGAGTAGTTAAAAGTGATTTGATTTCGGTGTTGAAGGAACTAGGTGAAGAAGCCGATTCTAGTTTAAAAGTTGTAGAATTAAAAGATAAGCTTTTAAGTTCTAAAGAATATTTGAAAGATAAAGATTTTGTTATTGAATTTCTTAATACTACGGTTGAAGAAAGGAAAAAGTCAGAAGAAATTGTGAAATTGCGTTTAATGCAAATCGAAAGTAGCAACGAATCTAGTAAAAACACGTAGAAAATACACTTTCATTAGATAAGCTTTTGAAAGCTGTACAGGCATTATCGATTTCTGTACCTAAAAAGGGTGAAGCATGGAACTTATTTTTTGATTCCATAGAAAGGGCTTTTAAGCATAAGAACGTACCAAATGAGTTTAAGTCTGAAATTTTACTTAAACTGATAGGTGATAAATCTTCTAATATTCTAGTATATATTAAAGATGATGATTTGAAAGATTATGAAAAAATTAAATCTTTAATCCTTAAGGAATATGAACCATCGCCAATTATATGTTTAGAAAATTTTCGCCAAGCTCAAAGGTTGATGGGGGAAACTCATTTGCAGTTCGCCTCTCGTTTAAGATCATGTTGGATCCATTATTGTAAAAGTAGAAACGTCAATGATTTTGAGTCTTTAATTAACTTAATAATTTCTGACAAACTTTTTCAAACATTGGATAGTGATTTAGCGTGCCATGTTGCAGTTCGACAAGGTGAAAGTTGGCTACGTCCAGAAGAACTAGCGAAGGAATGCGACACTTATTTCATCGCAAAAGGTAAATCTTTTGATGACATAAGAGGTGAAAAACGCGCTAATTTTTCGTGATTCATACAACAAAAACTCTAAATATATTCCACCAGCGCTAAGAAAAGTTTCAGTGGTAAATGAACAGAAACATTCGTTTAAACCGCGAGAATGTTACGTGTGTAGTAGCAGTTTACATTTGGCTAAGGATTGCCCGAACAGGCGAAATAAATTTGAGAGGTCCAATAAACAGAACGATAATTTTCCGGTCAAACCGAAAGTTAACACTTCAAGTAAACCGAAGGACAATGCGGTTGTTACAAATGTAAATTCTAAACATTTACAAAAACGCGAGTGTTCCGACGGAAAACTTAATTTTTATTCCTTGGAAAAGATTACTATTTACATTGCAGGGAAGCAAGTAGAAGCTATAAAAGATTCAGGTAAGGAAATACCAATTTTGAACACTACCTTAATTCCTGATTTAAAAATAGAAAGTAAAGGGTAAAATCATTTTAAGTTCTGCATTTGGCGACGTCATAGAGGCAACGTTAGCAACTATTCCCATTTATTACAAAAAAAAAAAAAAAAAAAAAGTTGTCTATATTCGCGCGTAGAAGCTTTTTTCGCTTTGACAGATAAGCTCAATGTTCAATGTTTAATTTCACCAGATGTATGGGATCGCATATTTGAAGACGAGAATGAATCAACAGTCTTCCCTGAGACGAAACCGGAAACTCATAAACAAAAACAACCTAAGGTTGGCGCTGTTGAACTGTCAAATGTAAATCTTTCTTATAACTCAGTTGCGAATCAGAATGATGAAAAACTAAACAGTTGTTCGGAATCGAATAAATTTAAGATCAATCAGAGAAACTGTCAAACATTAATAAATTCTTTTAAGGACGCAGAATTAGGGAAGAATAATTTCTTTTTACAGGACGAATTATTATTTCATAAAGAAAAAATTTGTGGGGAAAACATACAACAGTTAGTTTTGCTCAAGAATTATCGAAATAAATTCCTTCAATTAGCTCATGATTCCATATTTGGAAATCATTTAGGTATGAGGAAAACTAAAGAAAGAATTAAGCTTTCATTTTATTGGCCGAACATATCCAAAGATGTAGAAAATTATTGTAGAACATGCAAAAGATGTCAATTAAAAAGTCTGGAAAGACAATCGGATAAAATTCCGATTACTCCTATTGTTTGCTCGCCATATCCCTTTCATACAGTAAATATAGATATTATTGGTGAAATTTCACCGACTTCAGGAAGGAAACATAAATATTTTTTTTGTGTTTGATAGATAATCATTCAAAATGGCCAGAAGTCATACATTTAAAAAGTCTTTCCGCTAAAGCTACTTGTGATACTCTTTTAGATATTTTTACGAGAGCCGGTATTCCAGAAATAATTTGTAGCGATCAAGGCATTAATTTTACCTCACAATTAATTCAAGAATTCGAAAAAAGGTTAGGAACTCATCCTCGTTTTTTGACGCCTGGTTACCCAGCGTCAAACTGCTCAGTGGAAAAATGGAATCGGGTATTTAAACAAATGTTACATCATGTAATTCACACAGATTCTATTAACTGGGGACAAGCACATACCTTATTTACTTTTTGCGAATCGTGAAGTTCCAAATTGCATTACAGGTGTATCTCCATTTATGCTTATGTGAAGCTAGAGGTCCCTTAGCTGTGTTAAAATCATCATGGTCTGGTGAAATACCATTACCTCTCAATCTGAGTAATTCAGCAGTTGATTATCTACAAGAATTAAAGATAAATTTAGAGAAAGCATCTGAGCTGGCTTCCTTATCTGCCGCGGAAAAACAAGAAGCTTACGCATATTATTTTAACCGTCGCAAAAGTATGAAAGAATTTCCAACTCCAAATAAAGTGGATAGCGCAGCAACTAGAAGGGACATCGAGGTCGATATTAGTCATTTAGAGGGTAGCAAACAAAATTAATTACATAAGCTTTTACTCAAGCATATTGCGTTATTTTCTGGTGAGATCCATATAGCCAGCTTTGGTGAACATAGAATATGGTTGTTACCTGGAGCTGAAAGGAAAAAACCATATATCTATAAGATCCCAGAATCTTTGAAACCTGGAGGATCGAGGAATTAGAGAGCTTGAGTCTTATTGAGCCAAGTGAAGCTGAAATAGCATACCCAGTCGTATGTGTTGCCAAGAAAGACGGAAGTATGCGTTTATGTATTGATTTTAGACTGTTGAATCAAGTAACCAAGCCTATTGATTTTCCAATAGAGAATGTGACTGATTTAATCACTAAAATTGGACATGCGAATACATCACCAGTTTAGATGTTTTGAAAGGATATTGGGAAATACCTTTAGAAGAAGAAAGTCGTGATTTAACATCATTCAAGACACATCTTTCCCAATACCGTTGGAAGGTGATGCCTTTTGGATTAAAAAATGCAGCTTCTACTTTTCAGCGAGTGATGAATGATGCCTTAAGAAAGCATAGTGATTTTTGCAAAGCATATATTGATGATATTGCTATCTTTTCACCAGATTGGAATTCGCATCTCAAACATTTAGATGCTGTGCTAACTACATTAAGTGATCTCAGATTTACGGTGAATGTAAAGAAATGTGTTTTTGCACGTTCGGAGATAAAGTATTTAGGACATATAATAGGAGCTGGAAGACATCAACCTTATCCTGAAAAATTACAAGCCATCGAAATTATAAAAAGTCCTAAAACGAAGACTGCTCTAAAGAGTGCATTAGGTTTATTCAACTATTATTGTGATTATATAAAGAATTTTGCAGAAATAGCTCGCCCATTTATGGAGCTTACGAAAAAGAAAATTCTTGAGATAATTCCATGGACTGATGTTGAGGAATCAGCATTTCAAGATCTGAAAAGTCGACTGTATGAAGCACCAAAATTGTACACTCCAGAACCAGAAAAACCTTACACCATACAGTGTGATGCTAGTTCATATGGTGTTGGTGCTTGCTTGTCACAACGAGACAGCAAAGGCAGTTTGCATCCTATCAGCTTTGCCAGTCAAAAACTTTCGAAAACTCAGCAGAACTGGTCAACTATTGAAACGCGAGGCTTATGCCGTTGTGTGGTCATTAAAAAAGTTCGAGTGTTGGTGTGTTTGGATCGAATATCGAGCTGATCACAGACCATAATCCATTATTATATTTGCATAAGTCGGCACCGCATTCTGCCAAATTACAGATATGGGCTATGGCACTTCAACATTATAATATTCATATTTCTCATTGTCCTGGTGCACAATTAAAAAATGCAGATAGTCTTTCAAGACTAGTTGGTGAATGAAATAGGTGTGAACTAAGTATGAACTAATATGTTTAAAACTTTGCATTAGTTATTTTTCTTTTGTTCCGGAATTGAACAAGAGCTACTTTCCATCTGTTTTCAAAAAAAAAAAAAAAAAAAAAAAAAAAATAGTGGTTTTCATTTAATGTTGCATTATAATATTGTGTTTTGAAATAGTATTGCATATATGTTTTATTACAGAACTCCAGTATTGTATCAAGGCGTCTGTTCATCTGTTGTGAGATGAATGTTTATTACACTTATTTCAAAGCATTTTATTACATCATGTATACATGTTCATATATTTTGAATTAATTTCATTAA